GAGTTCTAGTTTAATTGCACTGTGGTCTGAGAGACAGTTTGTTATAATTTCTGTTCTTGTACATTTGCTGAGGAGTGCTTTACTTCCAACTATGTGGTCAATTTTGGAATAAGTGTGATGTGCTGAGAAGAATGTATATTCTGTTGATTTGGGGTGGAGAGTTCTGTTGGTGGCTATTAGGTCCACTTGATGCAGAGCTGAGTTCAATTCCTAGATATCCTTGTTAACTTTCTGTCTTGTTGATCTGTCTAATGTTGACGGTGGGGTTTTAACATCTCCCATTATTACTGTGTGGGAGTCTAAGTCTCTTTGTAGGTCTCTAAGGACTTCCTTTATGAATCTGGGTGCTTCTGTATTTGGTGCATATATATTTAGGATAGTTAGCTCTTCTTGTTGAATTGATCCCTTTACCATTATGTAATGGCCTTCTTTGTCTCTTTTGATCTTTGTTGTTTTAAAATCTGTTTTATCAGAGACTAGGATAGCAACCCCTGCCTTTTTTTGTTTTCCATTTACTTGGTAGATTTTTCTCCATCCCTTTATTTTGAGCCTATGCGTGTCTCTGCATGAGAGACGGGTCTCCTGAAACAGCACACTGATGGGTCTTGACTCTTTATCCAATTTGTCAGTCTGTGTCTTTTAATTGGAGCATTTAGCCCATTTACATTTACGGTTAGTATTGTTGTGTGTGAATTTGATCCTGTCATTATGATGTTAGCTGGTTATTTTGCTCGTTAATTGATGTGGTTTCTTCCTAGCATTGATGGCCTTTACAATTTGGTATGTTTTTGCAGTGACTGGTACTGGTTCTTCCTTTCCATGTTTAGTGCTTCCTTCAGGAGCTCCCATAGGGCAGGCCTGGTAGTGACAAAATCTCTCAGCATTTGCTTGTCTGTAAAGGATTTTATTTCTCCTTCACTTATTTAGCATAGTTTGACTGGATATGAAATTCTGGGTTGAAAATTCTTTTAAGAATGTTGAATGTTGGCCCCCACTCTCTTCTGGCTTATAGAGTTTCTGCCGAGAGATCCGCTGTTAGTCTGATGGGCTTCCCTTTGTGGGTAACCGACCTTTCTCTCTGGCTGCCCTTAACATTTTTTCCTTCATTTCAACTTTGGTGAATCTGACAATTATGTGTCTTGGAGTTGCTCTTCTCGAGGAGTATCTTTGTGGCGTTCTCTGTATTTCCTGAATTTGAACATTGGCCTGTCTTGCTAGGTTGGGGAAGTTCTCCTGGATAATATCCTAAAGAGTGTTTTCCAACTTGTTTCAATTCTCCCCATCACTTTCAGGTACAGCAATCAGATGTAGATTTGGTCTTTTCACATAGTCCCATATTTCTTGGAGGCTTTGTTCATTTCTTTTTACTCTTTTTGCTCTAAACTTCTCTTCTCGCTTCATTTCATTCATTTGATCTTCAATCACTGATACCCTTTCTTCCAGTTGATCAAATCGGCTACTGAAGCTTGTGCATTCATCACGTAGTTCTCATGCCATGGTTTTCAGCTCCATCAGGTCATTTAAGGATTTCTCTATACTAGTTATTCTAGTTAGCCATTCATCTAATCTTTTGTCAAGGTTTTTAGCTTCTTTGCAATGAGTTCGAACTTCCTCCTTTAGCTTGGAGAAGTTTGATCATCTGAAACCTTCTTCTTTCAACTCCTCAAAGTCATTCTCCATCCAGCTTTGTTCCGTTGCTGGCAAGGAGCTGTATTTGTTTGGAGGGGGAGATGCGCTCTGACTTTTTGAATTTCCAGCTTTTCTGCACTGCTTTTTCCCCATCTTTGTGGTTTTATCTACCTTTGGTCTTTGATGATGGTGAGGTACAGATGGGGTTTTGGTGTGTGTGCCCTTTCTGTTTGTTAGTTTTCCTTCTAACAGTCAGGACCCTCAGCTGCAGGTCTGCTGGTGTTTGCTGGAAGTCCACTGCAGACCCTGTTTGCCTGGGTATCAGCAGTGGAGGCTGCAGAACAGCGAATATTGCTGAACAGCAAATTTTGCTGCCTGATCGTTCCTCTGGAAGCTTCATCTCAGAGGGGTACCCGGCCGTGTGGGGTGTGCCTCCTAATTTGGCTACTTGGTGGTCAGTGACCCACTTGAAGAGGCAATCTGTCCATTCTCAGATCTCAAACTCCGTGCTGGGAGAACCACTACTCTCTTCAAAGCTGTCAGACAGGGGCATTTAAGTCTGCAGAGGTTTCTGCTGCCTTTTGTTTGGCTGTGCCCTGCCCACAGAGGTGGAGTCTACAGAGGCAGGCAGGCCTTCTTGAGCTAAGGTGGGCTCCACCAAGTTTGAGCTTCCCAGCTGATTTGTTTACCTACTCAAGCCTTAGCAATGGCGGGTGCCCCTTCCCCAGCCTCACTGCCACCTTGCAGTTCGGTCTCAGACTGCTGTGCTAGTAATGAGCGAGGCTCCGTGGGTGTGGGACCCTCCGAGACAGGCATGGGATATAATCTTCTGGTGTGCTGTTTGCTAAGACTGTTGGAAAAGCACAGTGTTAGGGTGTGATTTACCAGATTTTCCAGGTGCCATCTGTCACAGCTTCCTTTGGCTTGTAAAGGGAATTCCCTGACCCCTTGTGCTTCCTGGGTGAGGCGATGCCTCGCCCTGCTTCAGCTCACACTCAGTGGGCTGCACCCACTGTCCTGCATCCACTGTTCAACAAGCCCCAGTGAGATGAACCCAGTACCTCAGTTGGAAATGCAGAAATCACCCATCTTCTGCGTCACTCACGCTGGGAGCTGTAGGCTGGAGCTGTTCCTATTCCCTCTGCGTGACTTTTTAAGAAAAGAAGATTCAACCACAATCATCTCTGAGTTTCTTTCCAGCTTTCACATTATAAAATTCTATCACCATCATGTTGGGATAAAGCACTCTGCCATTAAGTGAATTTTCATCTAGTGTTATTTTCAGTTTTGGAGATATCTGTCACTGAGTTTCTGAGTCCATTTGCTCCCATATATATTTCTATTTTCTATTGGTTTGTTATAACTTCTATAAGACAAGTTCTTTCTTTTTTTTCCAATTCAGCCCAAGCCTGGGCTTGTATTTATGCTAAGAGGTTTTCTCTTTCTATCTGATTCCCCTTAGAACCTCAACTATAATTTCATTTTCTCTCTATTTATGGTTAGTTTTATTGTTTAGGGGTCATTTTCATAGAGAAATAACATAGTCTAATATCTGTTTTGCTGCAGTATCGTCTCTGCTTTCATGTTCAAAATATTGATGTTTAAAAACATCAGGAAAACATATCAGTTTGAATTAAGTTGCAAACTCTTTTTGAAATGCAACAACTTGTGGGGATTTGGAAATCAAACATGGTGGGGTCCTTTACAAAATGCAGGAGAGAAATGAAACAAATGGCTCGTTTTCAGAAAGTTGTTGTTTAAGAAATAATTCACTCTTGTGTTAGCACCTTCTTTGTGAAGTTTTCTTTATTATTTAATCTTGAAATGCAGGAAGAGTTTTGCCTTTCCACATCCCCTGTATGATTCACTTAACATTTTCTAGTTTGGTGGAAGACTCCGGAAGGGCTGGATTCTGGTTCTGCCTCTCCAACCTACAGGCCACTATGACCTTAGTCTCCTCATTTTGCCTCTAACCTGCCTCCACCCTGTTAACTCAGTTGTGAAAATGCAAATCATTGTAAACACTTTGCTATAAAGCATTATGCTAATGGATGTGCTGTAATGATGGAGGTTGCTATTGTATAGAAAGCTAGAAAATTCAGTGTCTTCTATAGAGATAGCCTTAAAAAGTCGTGTCAGAGGCTTGGGTCTTAGTGTTGAAACGGTATTCTGCCATGCTAGGTAAAGCTCCCGTGGACCCTGGCAGTGCTGAAGCAGCTGTAGCCAACTCCATTTACTCAGGGTATTAAGCAGGCCTAAAACTGTTAGCCTACCGCATCAAGACACCAGAGTCTGTAAATAATAAACGCCTGTGAAGCAATGAGGAAATTAGAAGTGCTGTGATAGTACTCAGTTCCATTTTTCTTTCTCTGTGACATTATCTAACAAATACTGTCCCATAGTATGGTGAATCAAATCTCTGAGCTATTTTTCCCTTGATCTAACAAGAAAACCCACTTATGGGCATTAATTAATATTTATTATTAGCACTTACTTTCTCTCTATAGTCTCAAAGTCCTTTATCAACATTTCATTATCAATCTGGACAGTCACTGTGTCACCCATATTTTTAGAAAATTACTGTGAACCAGATGGCAAACTGAACTGAACAGTCTTGAAAATGAAGAAAAAAAATGTTCTGAGCTCTGCCTTGGCAAGACAGCAGGTGACAACTCAAAGTCAGACTTGGGCTGGTTCTTGTACTGAACCACTCCTTATAACAAAAGCAACAGTCATAGCAATAACCAAACCAAACAAAACAAAACACTTTCATTTTTTCCTCGTAATGAGTAACTGAAATCACCTAATTATCGACATGGTCTTTTGAGGATCATGTATCACCTGCTTAATTTTTCTTGTGGCTACTCTTCTCTGATTTAAAATTGGGTGCTTACAAACAAGGTATTTAGACTATTGGATCTACTATAATATCTTAGAAGCTTGGGATTTGTTTAAATAACAATATAATTAAAAGGTTTAAATCTTATGCTAATATTGATTTTAATTTTTATTCAGACCGGCACTCTCACTGAAGACGGGCTGGACCTCTGGCAGACTGTCCCTACTGCTGACAACTGGTAGGCCTCTTATGTGAAAATGGAAGGTGTGTTTGGTGGAGTTACCTGGATGATACTCAAATCCATCTTTTGGGTGTTGAGGGATGAATGTCACATAAAATATATATAATAACTGGCCGGAACTAGTTCCTAATTATTCTAACTTGCTTAAATGAATTCTAATTTCAGAATCAGAAAGGAAAAGTAGGTCTTCGAAATCTCTATGAAAAATGGAGTAGGATGAGGTGGATAATTAAGGAACTAAATGAATAAAACAGAGAAAAAAGAGTGAAATGAAGACCATGCTTAGTTAAAAACTACAAAACTTCCTGGGTGGCTAGTACAGGCAGGTGGTGGTGAGAAATCTGGAAAAGTGGTTCACAGTGTAGTGGGATAAAAAGGTGCAAATACACCCACCTTTGATGTACAACACACGCCATGAAAATTGTTACTACTAAGGCAGAAATGTCAGAATGGAGAAGAAGAAATAGAGATTGTTTGATATAACATAAAGTCCTGACTTTTATGTAATTACATGGTAGGTAAAGACAAATTAATTTTGAAATCTAGTGAATCAAAGAAAGCCACCTGAAGGAGATGGCACTTCAGATAGGTTTTGAGGGACGTGAGAATTTTTACAGCTGTGTGCTAAAAGCTGGCACTAGGGAGAGGAAAGGGCAATCACATACATGTCTACTCCAGAAAGAGCTACAGAAGGGAAGGAGGGCCCCCAGAGGGTAAATCTCCTCATAGTATCTCCCCGTGGCTTCTAGCTCCTTCCCTATGGGCTAAGACCTGCCTTCTCAAATTGCGTGGTGATGGCCTCTGCTCTTAAGCTCTGAGTACCCCATTTTGGCTCCAACAGTGGTGAGTCTGCTGTCAGTGACAGAAGACAGTTTGCAGGGGACTCCCAGGATGATGAAGGGGCCAGGTACAGCATGGCACAAGGTAACAGCAGACAAGCAGTGTGATGTTGCAGAAGATGCCCTGGACTGGGTGACAAGGACCACCTGAGTTTGAACCCTACTCACGTGTCTCTGCTCCTGGTGCTCAGACGTCCCGGCCAGCCCTTCATCCAGACAGGCAAGGACTCTACTGGCCAGAGCAGTGAAAGGGAGAAAAAGATGTCCACAGTTTCCACCCCTCTATCTTCCTCCCTTGTCGCTGGTACTCTGAAAGTTTTCGGAGACTAGAAACAACTAGACACACTCACTATTCAGCTGTAAGGTGGGAGGAGAGGGAGGTGCAGGATGCCAGTTTGTATTATCAAAGGGAAAAACCGGCTTTAGAGGTGGGGTGTCCAGGGCGCTTCAGGAAGTAGGGGCAAACTCTAAAGGGCTGAGTAGTGAGAAACGCGTCCGCGTCCATGCAGCCTTCTTACCTCTCCCTAATTTCCTGCTCCTTAAAGTAGCCCTAGAGACTCCTTGCCTAGGGTGTGTGGCTTTTTGCAGACAGCTCTGCAGAGTTTGCAGGTATGACTCCGAGCTGCCTGTTGATGGGCCTTCCCACAATACGGCCATTACGTGAGCTGGCTTCCAGTAACATGACAAAAGTCCCTGGAATTCTATCCAAAGCCTCCGAAACTATGTTATTGATTGGCCAGTGGCAAACTCTGTTGAGAACACAATCCATATCCAACTCAAAGAAATGTTTTTATAAAGATAACTCTGCAGGCAAAACACCCTGTTTAAAAAATAAAGAAACCAAGTGGGCAAGGGCTTAAGGGTAGAGAAGTCTCCGGACAAGCACAGCAGTAGCGAGAAGTTTAATCTGGATCTAGAGAGCAGGGCATAAAGGACATTAGTAGGACTGGACACTATAAGGTAAGGTAGATCCGAAGTGGACAGGACTTTGAATATCAGACTAAGGGGCTTGGACTTGATCATTTGGAGCAGGAGGAGCCATGGGAAGGTTCTGAGCATTAACATTAGGTGTTTGCATGTATACATATGTAACAAACCTGCACGTTGTGCACATGTACCCTAGAACTGAAAGTATAATAAAAAAAGAAAGAAAATGTGGTACATATATACCATGGAATACTATGAAGCCAAAGAAAGAAATGAGATCATGTCCTTTGCAGGGACAGGGATAAAGCTAGAAGCCATCATCCTCAGCAAACTAAAACATGAATAGGAAACCAAACACCACTTGTTCTCACTCATAAGTGGGAGCTTAGCAGTGAGAACACATGGACACAGGGAGGGGAACATCATACACCAGAGCCTTTCGTGGGTGAAGGGAGGGAGAGCATCAGGACAAATGGCTGATGCATGCTGGGCTTAATACCTAGATGACGGATTGATAGGTGCAGCAAACCACCATGGCACACGTTCACCTATGTAAAAACCCTGCATTTTCTGCACATTGATCCCAGAACTTAAATAAAAAAAAAAATTAGGTGCTTGGAGCTCCACTTTAGTAAGATTTAAGGGACAGAGTGTGCAAAATGATTTTATCAAAGACTTTACCTTCTCTACCTTCTCTACCAGCTTCCAGGAAGCCCACAGCTTTGCCTCGGGCCAGGCTGTGCCGTGGGGCCCACTGTGTGCGGCCATGGCCAGCTGCCACTCTCTGATCCTTCTCAATGGGACCATCCAGGGAGACCCTCTGGACCTCAAAATGTTTGAGGGCACTGCCTGGGTAAGGTGATAGTTTAATGGAAAGATGAGAACCTGAGGAAATCTTTACTGGGAGTGCTGAAGCTTTTCTAATTTGTGTTAAAACACGGAGAGGATTCATAATAACATAAGTATGAATGGGTAACGCTACCAGAACTTCCCAACCTGTGCCCCAAAGAACTCTGTTAGTGGGTGCTGCATGAAATAGGCATCCATTCTTGAAGAAGCTTGGAAACTGTTGTTTAAACAAAGTGAAAACTCATTTCTTGACTGCATGATTTCTTTAATATACTGTGGTGCTTTGTGAATATTCAAGAGGGAATATGAGATGCAGCATTTACCAAATCTATCTGACCTCAAGCCTGTTCTCCAAAACATCAATGTTTTCCAAAACACTATCAGAGAAACGTAGTCTAAAGCAGTACTTTCCAGTACAGCAGCCACGAGCCATACGTGGCTACTGAGCCCTTGAAATGTGGCTCTGCAACTGAGAAACTGAAATTTTAATCTGATTCCATTTTAAATAGTTTAAATAGCCACAAGTGGCTGGCGGTGACTGTATATTGTAAAGCATAAGCCTAGACACCAAACTGGAGGGCTGCATCCAACTGGTTCAATCTCCTGAGCTGAGTGTGAATGAAAACGGAAGGATGTAAACCCATACTGGGGGCTGCCACAGTGGAAAGCCCTCACATTTCACCACTCTCCAGCTGGGTGATCGCAAAGCCAGAGCCAGGACTGAGTCCGTAACCTCATCTGTACATTTGGGGTAATAATGCCTCATTCACAGACTTGTGAGCACTGAGACTATGAATCTAAAGGGGCTTTGAGCCAGTGAAGAGCCAAACAAGTAGAGGGTGTTCACTAATTAACCAGTTAGTTAATTACATCCTGCTGCCTCCAGAGAACATCCTAAAGCTGTGTACAATGATGTATCAAACCCAGTACAGCAGTTTAATATAGCTGCAAAAGAATGGAAGCAAATGATTGCAGGGAAACGAAGCACACCTAACAAAGAAGCTAATACAAAGATGTATAATAGGGAAATTTTAGCTTTCTAGGGGCAAATCAATGAAAGAGGAAACCTGGTAAAAAGAGTAACTTCTGATATCAGCAAGTTAAAACAGAGCATTTGCTGTGGACAACAATTTGACATAGTGACCAATTCTCCGGATTTCAATGGAGAGGAATCAGTGTATTTACTCTAAGCAGTGTCCTCACCAGAATCATTGGGATTGACATGGTGATGAGTTGTGCAGGGTCATTTTATATCTGGCTTTGGTCCTGGCCCTAACTACATCCCCCTCTCCATTATAGGAGGGCTGGTCTATCTTTACAAATAACATACTTGTTTGGGAATATAAATCTTTAGTATTAGCTCTGTAAAAACCATCTGTAAGAATAGTTGTACCTATCCCAAACAAAGCATAAAAATGCACAATTATTCACTGAGTTTACAGCTGGGTCAGAAGCTGTCTTGAGTATCTTTTGGTAACTAGGAACCTTCCACTCCACATACAGAGGAGGGCAACTGTCCTTTCAGACTGTCAGATTAGTTTTCAGAAGAAATTCAGGTCTAGAGAAATAAAATGGTGTCCCCAAGGTTAAACAGCTAAGTGGCAAAGTGGAAACCAAATACTATCTCCTGTTTTCTGACCTCTACTATTTATATATTGGCTTCTCAGAGCTATTAACTTCTGTTGTAATATCCAAAGAATACAAGTCATTTTCAAACAGGCTTTCTAATCTGCTAGCAGCTGACATACCAACTCCCTAGTTAACTTAACTAGGCTAGTAGCATAGGTATAGTATGAAGAACTAGTCCCATGTTTATCTCAGGACCCAATCCTAACTCATCTGAGAGCTATGGTGCTCAGCAATGTTGGAGACTACATCTCCACACAATCCTTCCTCCAGTTACTAGATATAATCATTTAGAAAGATCCATGGACCTGTAGCTAGCACTTCTTTCATCAATTACTTCTTAAAATGAATTCACAATATTTTTGGCTTTTGACATTCTATAATAAGTCCCCTAATATAAATTGACACAACAGAAATTTAACAATGACAGTATTAAGATAATTGACCTGGAAGAGAAAATATATAAAAAGGGCTTTGAAAACATTAAAGTATTGTGCAAATAAGAGATGTTTCTTTCTTACTATTTTTCTTCAAAGAATCTTATGAATGTTTTCATTTTATAACAGAAAATGGAAGATTGCAATGTAGACTCCTGCAAATTTGGGATGTCAGTTTCAAACATCATAAAACCAGGACCAAAAGCCAGTAAGGTATGATTTCCTTCTTTATATCACATAGCTCTTTCCCCATAAAGCTGGTAAAACATTTCTGACTTTCACATATTTTTATAGTCCTATTATTTTGCCTTATCCTAACAGTTTCCATGGTTGGTTTGCTGTTTCTTTCATTTCTGAATTTATCTATTAATTTATTCAACAAACACTACCTGTGTAGACTAGAGCACTATGCTAGTTGCTAGCAGATAAAGAGCCTTCAAAACAAGACACACTTGGTTCTGGGTTGGAGGAACAGGTAGACTGGTAGAAAAATCAATATAGGTGCAAAGAAGTACAACACAACATGACAACTGCTATAATCAAGGCTGAAGAAAGAGTTTTAAGAGTCCTGACATGGGAGTGAATACTGTTTCTGGGAGATAAAAGCACCACAGAGGAGATGACCTGTGAGCTTGGCTTGGAAGGTGATTAGAATTTCTCCAGGGGAAGGTCCTTGCAGTATAGACAACTTGTTGAGGGAGTCGCTTTAAGGCAGCCAGAAAAAAAAAAAAAAGTCAATATTGTGACAAATATACTACATCAAGATGTCTCTGGGCTCATTGCACAGTGAAGCCTTTTTGTTGGTGTGCATTGGGAAATATCATTTAACAGCTTGTTAAGCTCCCTGTTGTTGATGGGCTTGCAGAGTCCGGTGGAAGCCATCGCCACCTTGCGCCAGTTTCCATTTTCCTCGAGCCTGCAGAGGATGTCGGTGATCGCTCAGCTAGCTGGGGAGAATCACTTCCATGTTTACATGAAGGGTGCCCCAGAAATGGTGGCCAGGTTCTGCAGATCTGAAACAGGTACTGACACTTTTCTCTTTCAAGTAGTAAAATACTTTTCTTTCTTTTTTTGAGACAGACTCTTGATCTGTCCCCAAGGCTGGAGTGCAGTGGCACCATCTCGGCTCACTGCAGCCTCCACCTCCTAAGGTCAAGTGATTCTCCTGCCTCAGCCTCCCAAGTAGCTGGGATTACAGGAGCATGCCACAACTCCGGCTAACTTTAGTATTTTCAGTAGAGACAGGGTTTCACCATGTAGGCCAGGCTGGTCTTGAACTCCTGGCCTCAAGTGATCTGCCTGCCTCAGCCTCCCAAAGTGCTGGGATTATAGGTGTGAGCCACTGTGACCAGCCGAGACCAAATACATAAAGCCAACAAACACAGAAAGCTTCACCATCAGTGAACGTGGAGCTGCTTGTTTGCTGGGTGGGTACAAAGCAGGCCCAGTAGATCCTAAGAAGCAGGGGCAATCATTTCAAGGCTGGGAGGTAGCGACTAAATATCTGGCTGTGGGTGCAGTAAGAAAAGTACAACCACAGTGGGGCATCTGGGAAGGAGATAAGATGTGAAGCTTGCATCAGGAGCCAGAACAGGGAGCTACTGAGGGTCAGAGAACTAGGGGAGGTGTGAATGAGGGAAACGAAGGGAGAGGTCTGGACGCTAGGTAAGTTCTGCAGACATGGCTGCTCTGTCACCTCCAGGGAGAATCAGATAGATCAATGGGAGGAGGATATAGAAAAGATAAATATCTTAGAAATAAAAGGGATTAGAGTAAATTCAATGGTATTAGAGCAAGATAATTTATCATTTTCACAGCAATTTCATCTTTCTGGGCCAGATTTTGAGCTGATTTGTATTGCTTTTTAGTCTTATAAACATATGCACTCTTTAAGCGGCAGCCAGATTTATAAGAATGTTGTTGCATTCAAATGAGTTCATTTGGATAAAACTGATCTTTTGTCTTCTGATTTTCATGTAGACACTCCTTATGACTGCTGATGGCCATCAACTTGTGCAGAGAATTCTAGATTTGGCAAATGATTCCTTTAACTTCTCTATTGGGAGCCTTTTTATAAACCTAAGAAGTAGCCCCTTTTCGGGCTGGGTACAGTGGCTCACACCTGTAATCCCAGAACTTTGGGAGGCTGAGGCGGGCGAATCATGAGGTCAGGAGATCAAGACCATGGTGAAACCCCATCTCTACTAAAAATACAAAAAATTATCTGGGTGTGGTGGCGGGTGCCTGTAGTCCCAGCTACCCCGGAAACTGAAGCAGGAGAATGGCATGAACCCGGGAGGCAGAGCTTGCAGTGAGCCGAGATCGTGCCACTGTACTCCAGCCTGGGCCACAGGGCACGACTCTGTCTCAAAAAAAAAAAAAAAAAAAAAAAAAAGCCCCTTTTCTTCTGACTTTGATCTTCAGCACTGGTCTCATTAACGCTGTCCTTCACTAATTACAACATATACTGTGTTTGTTTTGTTTCAGCTACATGGGTACAACTGAGCATCTTCTTGGCATTTAAACTGGTGTCTATTGCCCCTGCTCTCTCACAAGGATTTGGGCCTGTCACTTGGCACTCGTTTTCCTGGCAGCTCTTCCTGTTCTTCCTGTTTTCCCAACTTCCAATCTTTGACTTATGCTAATACTATCTTCAGTGATTTCCACCACCACCCTACCCCATTTTTAGAAATAGAGAGTTAAGAACTTTCTTGAAATTAGATTCCCACCTCCAGGAATATTTTAGAATTACAGAAAGTCTGAAATGAATGGAGACAGAGAGATCTGGAAACTTCTCATTTTATGGATGAGAAACTAAGGTGCAGAAGAGAGACTTAGCATGACTAAGGTCCACATGGAAGTGGAATGGGGAGAATAGAACTTAGTTGATTTACCACCTAAGCTACTATACCTCCCTTTGTTCTGTGGTTCCCTCTAATACCCTTATAGGTACATTATACATCATAAAGATTTTATAAACATAGTTGTGATTGCCATGCTAAAACACACGAATGTTGGCATTGTGTCATCTTTCACCTAAAGCAGGAGTTGTCAAACTTTTCTGTAAAGAGCAAGATAGTTCTGACTTTAGGCTTTGCCAATCACATGGCTTCCATTTCAAGTGCTCAACACTGTCACTGAAGCCTCAAAGCAGCCATAGACAATGAATAATCAAATGGACATGGCTGTGTTTCAGTAAAACTTCATTTATAAAAACAAGCTATAGACCAGATTTAGCCTGTGCATCCTAGTTTTTTTGACCCCTGATCTAGAAGATCAGCTGTTTCTCTCATTTTATCCAAGTACCCATAGTCCTGAGGTCTGTTCTTACTGAACCCAGTGGGTGCATTTGACACCCAGTTTGTCTGAGTCAGCTTGTGCTATTATAACCAAAGACCATAGACCGGGTGCTTGAACAACAAAAATGTATTCTTCACAGTTCTTGGGGCTGGAAAGGCTAGATGGAGGTGTTGCCCAATGTGGTTCCTGGAGAGGGCTTTCTTTCTGGTTTGCAAATGGCTGGCTGCCTTCTTGCTGTATCCTCGCGTGGTGAAGAGAAATGTGTTTTCTTAGGGCATCAATCTCATTCACGAGGGCTCCACCCTCATGACCTAACTATCTCCCAAAGGCCTCACCTCCAAATACTATTACATTAGAGATTAGGCTGCAACATATGAATTTTAGAGGGATACATAACACAGTAAATGGCCAGCACATCTTTGGCATTTATTTCCATCAGAATAATAAGGACACACTGATGAAGTTGTTTGTGGCCAACAGCTGAAGTTTTCTATTAAAGCACTTTTATGGAATGAAAGTTAAGACAAGGTACAATGGCTGTATCCTGGAGTCTTGCTTAGACCAGCCTTCAACATGACCTTACACTTACCTGTTTCTTCTACCCTGGCAGTGCCTAAGAATTTCCCACAGGAACTAAGGAAGTACACGGTGCAAGGCTTCCGTGTCATTGCTCTTGCCCACAAAACCTTAAAGATGGGGAACCTTTCAGAAGTGGAGCACTTAGCCAGGTAAGCAACTCAGAAAAGGACACTAGAGCAGGCTTTGTGTGCATGAAGTGTGAGTCCTGGAGATGAACAGATGAACAGTTCTAATCACCTTGAAGTCTCTCGGAGACAGAGAATTAATCTTGTACAGTCCCCTGATTCAGAGATGGACAATTGTAGGTGATACTGGAGATGACTTGCTCAGGTCACAATGCTGGTTGGTGGCAGAACAAGGATGGTACTTGAGAGCTTCTGACTCCAAGATACCAGTGCGTTATCTCTGTTCGGCATTATGTTATGCCAACTTTAGTGTCAGCGCCCATCCCATCAAAACAACTAACGCTCCTTCAACCTCAGAGCATTATGTGACCAATGGACTTGGGTGTCCCATACACAGAGGGGTTGAGAGAGGGAGACAGTTGGCGCCTTGGAAGATTTTCAGAATCTTTTAGACATGTTTTATTTCAGTGCTCAATACTACAACACCTCCTTCGTATCTGTGAAGGTAATAAGTGCAAATTGAATTACTTGTGAGAAATAAAATTCAGTATTCTTAATTACATTACAGGGATAAGTTGTCCTCATTAGAGGATAATTTATAAATTATTTTTTCTTTCAAAGTTCTTCAGTTTTTAAAGGCTATTTTTAAATTATCTATGACAAAGGAGTAAAAAAATACTGTGGAAAATTGAATAGCAGACAATCTATTTATTTCTTACATTGGATTTGTGTTGCTGATAAATGCTCATTTATATACAGCTAGCCCCTTCATGTAAGATACTGATATCCTTGGTTTAACATTATTATTTGCAACCTAAGTCCGTTGACGCTAAGTTAATTAGTAAACATAGTCCCTTCCTTATTCTGTGCTTGTTTCACCATCGATAAAATATGCAACTGGATGATCTCCAAGGAGGCTTTCAGCCATGACATTTTAATATTTGAAACAGGATCACAAAGCTCATTTTGAAATATATGAATGACATTCTCGGATTTAACATTGCAGGTGTTAGCTATTCTTGAGCAAACATAAAGGTCCAGACCACATAGGATTTGTAATTTTTTAAACACAAATTTGAATAATCCACATTAAGGACATGTGTGAAGAAAAGATCTATGTAGCTAGAGATGGAGTGTAGCCATCACCCAGCTGTCACATACAAATGCAGCTGTGTTGTTCTCATATGAGAGCCACTAGTAGGATAGACATTATTATAAACATAACAAAATAAGAAAATGAAGATAAAATGTGCTAGATTTCCAACCAATCCAGGTTTTTTTTCAGGCAATATCAGGAGTCTATTATAGTTCTCAGAATTTAGTTACTATTTTCAAACAGGATAAAAGGACAGGGTTTTGATTTATCTTAGAATCAAATTCTATTTAGAAAAGTTTTCCAACTAGAAAAATTTAAAACTTCTTAAAAATTGGAGTCAAAATGGGGAAGTAGAAAAGTTTTTTGAGATGACTTAAAAAGTCACTCCAAACTAAAACAGCAGGAGGAATACTTCATCAAGGCTCACCCCTTCACTGGTTTAGCAGATCTGTATTGAACTTAACTGTGTGTCAGATGCTCAAGGAATTCAGAATTTATTCAGAAGTGAATAAAATAAAATCCTGCCCTCACGAATCTTATATCCTAGTTGGGGAAATAGATTATAAAATAGACCCATACAATATTGTCCCACTAGTGGTTCTTAAATGACCTGAGGGGGAAAGTATAAAGTAAGTTAAGAGGACTTTTTAAAAAAGACAGAGAATGTCATTTTGCTTGGGCAATCAGCAAAGTCCTCAGAGGAGTAACATTTTAACAGACATCTAGTAAAATAAGAGAGAAAGACATGCAGATATCCAGAGGAAGAGCATTGCAGAGAATACAAATGGTAGGTACAAAGGCTTTAACACAAGTACTGCTGGGAAGGTTGTAGGGGAACAAGAAGCCAAGTGCCTAAAGTATTGAATGAGAAGAAGCATCATAAAATAGAAACAAAGAACATTTGTCTGTTTTTGCTTTTGTTGCCTGTGCTTTTGGTGTCATAGCCATGAAATCATTGCCAAGACCAATGTCAAGAAGATTTCTCCCTATGTTTTCCTCTAGTAGTTTCACAGTTTCAGGTCTTATGTTTAAGTGTTTAATCCATTTTGAGTTGATTTTTACGTGTGGTATAAGATAAGGGTCCAGTTTCATTCTTTTGCTGGTGGATATCAAACTGAAAAGCTTTGCACAGCAAAGGAAATAACAGTGAAACGCAACCTATAAAATGGCAGAAAATCTCTGCAAACCATATATCTGATAAGAAATTAATATCCAAAATGTACAGAGGACATAATTCAATAGCAAAAATCAATAAATAACCCAATTTAAAAATGAGCAAAGGCCCTAAATAGACATTTCTACAAAGACATACAAATGGCCAACAGATATATGAAAAAGTGCTCAACTTTACTAGGCACTAGGGAAATGCGAATCAAAACCACAATGAAATATCACCTGATACCTGTAAGGATGGCTATTTGAAAAGAAAACCTGTGTTGACAAGGATATAGAGAAATTGGAACCATTGTAAAATGGTACAGCTGCTATGGAAAACAATGTGGAGGTTCTTTAAAAAATTAAAAATAGAATGACCGTATGATACAATGATCCAAAATCCCAATTCTGAGTATATATCCAAAAGAACTGACATTGGGATCTCAAGAAAAGATATCTTCACCTTTATGTTCATTGCAGCATTATTTATAATAGTCAAGATATGGAAACAACCTAAATGTTCATCAGTGGATGAATGGATTTTAAAAATGTAGTATGTACATATAATGGAATATTTAAGCCTTAGGAGAAAATCTTGCCATATGAGACAACATGAATGAAACTGAAAGACATCACACTAAGTGAAATAAACCAGTCACAGAAGACGTAATACTGTGTGATCCTACTTATTTGAAGCATCTGAAATAGACATATTCATAGAAGTAGAGAGTAGAATGGTGGTTACCAAGGGCTAGCGGGAGAGGGAAATAGGAAGTTGTTAATGGGTATAAAGTTTCAGTTATGCAAGATGAATACCTTCTGGAGAAGTGATTTTAACACACATGCACACATACATATAAAACAGGGCAGAAGGAAACTTTTTGAGGTGATGGATATGTTTATTACCTTGATTATGGTAATGGCTTCATAGCTGTATGCATATTGTTTAAATCTATCTCCCTGTAATCTTAACACCATGGTGCACAGGAAAATGAACAAAGAATAAAAAAGAGTTCTTGGCCCCCAAATTTACTTTTTAAAAAGCCGCCCTAGAATCATCCCATTTCAGAGGAAAGTTCCTATATAACTAATGCAACCCAGTTGGACTATAAGCCACCTTCAAATTCTGAAAACTGTTCAGAGCCCTGTCTGATGCCAATAAATGTTATTCAAGGTGACAGCTGGAGACTAAGATGAATGACACCGTATTCAACTACTACTATCGTGTCTTGTATGTATGCAGAATGCACTTGACAAATGCCAAATAAACTGAAACGATTGCAAACTCAAAAAAGAGAAAGCTATGATAAATTAAAAACTAAAGTATATTGGATTAACATATTTAAAAACCAACAGAAGAGTTGGAAGATAAGCACATTGTTTTTAAAAATAAAGTAGGAAACTGGAAAAAACAGATTTAGAAGTGGTTGCCTCTAGGAAGGAGAGGGGTGAGATGGTGTGGAGACACAGACTGTTGGTTTTCATTATAAGCTTTTAAGTTTGTTTTGATTTTTAAAATGTGCCTGTATTACATAAATAAGACTTATAAGGAAATTTTTAAAAGAAGAAATAAATTGAACTACTGAGCGTACATAGATACACGTTAATATTGATTTTCTCCTGGATACAAAGAGAAAAAGTGGAGTCAGAGTTAACATTTCTGGGACTTCTCATCATGGAAAATCGTTTGAAAAAAGAAACCAAACCAGTCTTGAAGGAACTGAGCGAGGCCCGTATCAGGACTGTGATGATTACAGGTATGTATTTGTTTCTAGGTGCCTGGCAAGTTGATTGTATCCCAGGCATAAGAACAAGATGTGTGAGCTGAGTTCATGTGTCAGAGACAGAGAAAAATGTTTTGTTGTTGAATTTGTTACCCTGTAGTCCCTTACCTGAAAACATGTACAGCTGCCCCGACAGGACCAGAAGCTTTGGAGGTAGGGACCGTATCTCATTCTCTTTGTCTAATGACTGCCCCTCCTAGCCAGGATCTGTGCAGTGCCTCTAGGCTCACAGTAAATGAGCAAGAATGGGTGTGTTCTCATCAAGAAACCCAATGATCCCTCTGCACAGAGGATTGAGCCTCTGGTTGATGGTCCTCTAGGGCAGTAGGGCCAGGCACGGTGTATAATCATCAAATCCAAGCACAGCCTGACCCTGTGTGTTCTTTGCTTAGTTGGTTTCCAGACCCCGTGTATGGTTTTATGCTATCAGGCTGAGATCATACTATATTTGCCACTAAGAGCAGTCTGACTTCTGAGGATTAGTCATAAATGCTTAAGTATTTCTTTATTAATTCACACAGGTTTTGAAATACACATGGACAGGATATGACGCTGAATGTTGTGAGAGGGAGATGGGAATATAGTGTTTGCCCATGAGGGGCAGTCTACAGCAGAGAGGAAGATAAAATAAAGCAGAAAGCAGTAAATGCCCCCAAAGAACACTAAGCAGAGTGGAAAAGGGCGACCTCAGTTCCTGTTGCTGAGGGGAGGTTTGTACATACAGAAAGCAAAGTTTCTTTGTCTTCTAGGTGACAACCTTCAAACAGCCATTACTGTTGCAAAGAATTCTGAAATGATCCCTCCAGGCAGCCAAGTGATCATTGTTGAAGCCAATGAACCAGAAGAATTTGTTCCTGCCTCTGTGACCTGGCAGCTGGTGGAGAACCAAGAGACTGGACCTGGGAAGACAGTGAGCAAATGTTAGAAGGCCCCTCCGTGGGCCTAGACTGATGGAATACAATCCTGGCACTGCTCAGCCTTCTCTCAACTCCAGGAGTCATCTCAGTAATAATCCCTCACATCTGTCCAGAGTTTGACAGTTTGCAAAGCATTTCCACCAGCTCTGGTTGCCTGTGAAAATCACCTGGGGGAGTTTCTAAGCTTCCAATGCAGGTTGCACCAATTAAATCAGAACCCCTGGGGTGGGAGCTAGCATCGGGTGCTTTTCCCAGCGATTCCAGTGTGCAGTCATGGCTGAGAACTACTGATTTACACTCATATTTTCCACGTGGTCATTAAAATAACCCTATGCAATTGGGCAAACCATTAATTTTACAAATGAGAAAACTGAGGCTCAGAGCAGTAAGCTTGCCCAATACAAAAACTGGTGAGTTGCAGAGCAGGAAAGCAGACTTAGGCCTATTTGATTCCACACAGATCCGTGGGCATTTGGATTGTACTATACCTATGACATGAAGCTAACAGAGGCTGGGCTTCTCCAGATAGAAATCTCCCTATGCTCTTGTGACAGAATAGCTTTTTCATATGACGACAATGGGCTGTAGCCTCACATTCCATCACTAACGGTAACACCCATGCTTTTGTGTGAATTCAAAGATATGGCCCTACAGGTGATGAATTACAAAAATGCTGCCTTCCTCCAGGCTAACCAGCCTTTCGGATTGTTAAGTATAGAGTGGGTCTCTGTGCAGTCAGGAGTCTTTGTGCAGTACACAAACTGCACAGCTATACAGAATGGCCCTGCCCCTACCCTGGGAAGAGGTGGGTTAACTTGCTTCAACCTCTAATTGCATGGGCTGTGAAAGATGACAGCTCTCTCTCTGCTCTCAGCAGATTTCTGGTGCTTATTTCCTTGTGAACCTATTTGCTTCTATATCAGTGCATGCTGCCTGAATTTCACTGCATGCTGTAACCCAGGCCCTTTGTGAATTTAACTGAGAGTCCGCTAACACTACTTTCATGAATTGAATGCCTCTACTGAAATTTTGGTTCCCACCAGGAGAAATTGTATCACAGTTTCAGGCCTTCCTCCTCCCTGGGTCCCTCCACCACACTTCCTCTCCCCACATTCCCAGTTCAAGCGAAAGGAATTCCTGCTCCTGTCTCAGGAGGGATGCTTTAGAACATGTCTTTTGTTGGTTATTTTGCTACTGGGGATAGAAAGGGAGGGGTGTGTCATCTTGCCTCGCAGTTCAGCATAGCAAATTTTTTTTCCTTCAAATACAATGCTTTCCCTGAGATGAAGTCATCTGATGAATAAAATTTTCTCACCTCCTGCAATATTTGAATTTAGAGTCCTAAACACAAACGGAAGGCTCCCTGAGAAATGTTGCATGAAAAACCATGATTGATTATTGATATAATGAATGCACAGGCATTCATCAGATACTTTCTCCCTAACTGAGAGCCAGGTAGGGCTAGAATCAAGCCAGAGAAATATCGTGACAAGTGAAAGGTAGGAGGGAAAGGGTTTTGGAAAAGGATTACTCCTGGTGCAGTGGGATGTAGAGTATGGAAGAGAATGTAGGGAACCATGATAGAAAGGGTTACCTGTTGAGGTAGGATCATAACAAAGGTCAGAAGCTGGGTCCTAAAAGGAGTTAGGCACTGAAGGAAGAGTGCCTACTTTACAGTGAAGACAATGAGAGTGATTTTTGAATAAGTGAATGGTAAGAGATCTTAGAAATATAAGGTTGCATGATGAGGAGAAGGAAGAAGAGGGAAGAATTTTCCTCTTCTTCCTTGTAATAACTAATTGGGACCTAGGAATAGTTAGATTTCTTCAGTAGACTGACATCATGCATATTATCTCCCAAGACAGGATCCAGAGTAGCGTACTGTCAAAGTATCATATGTTTACGTAATCTTGGGGGGAATGTTTAGAGTGTTTTCTTCCTATGGGTGGAAGTGCTGTAGGCAAATTACACCTTATTTTGTTGCTGACCTTCACACTGTTAGGCAACATGAAAACTCTTCCTTCAATAAAGCATAGGAAAGCAGAGACACTCCTTAAGAGTCAATGTAGAAATGATGCCCTTTTGATTTTAGGAAACCTGCGTGTACACTGGAAACAGTTCAACCCCTCGTGGGGAAAGAGGAAGCTGTTACCATTTTGCAATGAGTGGGAAATCGTACCAAGTGATATTTGAGCATTTCACCAGCTTGCTTCCAAAAGTAAGTACTGAAGAAATGAAGTGTTTTGTTTTGCTCCTCAAATTAGCGAGTGCGAAAGGAGGAGGAGAGTATTGAAAACTGTGATCACTGAGGTTGCCTCACAATTAGAGAATAAACACCCCCAAAGGAGTACTGTCCCTGAGAAAGTTTTCTGGCCCTTTTTATGCCTTCCTGGCCCCAGGCAGACCCACGGCCTCCCATTCCAAGTTTGAGTTCTGGTACTTTCTCTCACCGCCGTGGCCAGTTCAGCCTTCCTCCTCCTTTCCCTCCCCACCCAGGAGAACGGCAGAGTTCCAGACACGCTGCTTGTTTTGAGGGCCAGCTTCTCTCTGAAACCTACCAGCTCGTGTCAGGCTAAGCTCTATTCCCCTTCCTGTCTGGATTCTTAAATTACAGCAAGAGGAGACAAAGGCCCCATGGTTTATTTTCAGAGTCATTTGTTATCTTGTCCTCTGTGTGTCCTGTTTTAAAATAGTGCTGCGCAGGGTTGCACTGTCAATATGTGGGAGATTAATGGAGCACAAGGGGAGGGCAGCAACTATCCGTTAGCAGTGTCTTAAAAATTCTGTCATCCTAGCAGTCAAAGACCCCAGAATCTAGACCCCAAAGGCTTCTAGAAAGCTCTTAGTTCAGTTCAGGGAAAGCTGAGACTCAGAGAGGTTAATTTGCTTGTCTAAGGTGTGCACAGCTAGCTGAGAAGAGAGCCTTGTTTCTCAGCTTCCAGCCTTTCCTCTGTCTATGCTATGATTATGGAGATGGTGTCTATTAGGAAAGAACTGTGTTTCCTCAAGCATTTTTATTCCATATGCTCTGCTGCTTCTTAGTTACTATAGTATTATTGATTAGTGGTCACCTCATCTTGGAAAAATGGTCTGGGAAAAAAAGTAATGGAGTTGTGATGGAGGACTTTAAGTGAAATTTCAATATTAAAGCTTTAAATCTCCTTATTTCCCTTCCTGGTATTGGTCTAATGACATACCATCCAATGCTGTATTAAATTAGTAACCAGGAGTGATTTTTCAGGGCTGTTCTTTTATTTTTAAAAGTTTTCTTCTTCCCAATCATATTGCAATGGTTCTTTTTTCTTTTTAGATTCTGGTGAATGGAACAGTTTTTGCAAGAATGTCTCCTGGGCAGAAATCAAGCCTTATTGAAGAATTTCAGAAATTAAAGTAGGTGTCATGGCATGAAAGACGAGTATGCTCATTAACTATTGCTACCTATGGGTCAATAATTCAGGTGTGGGTCAGAATGGCTATTATTAAAAAGTCACAAATAACAAATGTTGGCAAGATTGCAGAGAAAAGGGAACACTTACACACTATCAGTGGGAGTGTAAATTAGTTCAACCATTGTAGAAAGCAGTATGGCAATTCCTCAAAGAGCTAAAACAGAACTACCATTTGAACCAGCAATCCCAATGCTGGGTATATACCCAGAGGAATATAAATCATTCTACCATAGAGACACATGCACATGACTGTTCATTGCAGCACTATTCACAATAGCAAAAACATGGGAATCAACATAAATGCCCACCAATGACAGACTGGATAAAGAAAATGCGGTACGTATACACCATGGAATACAGTGCAGCCATAAAAATGAATGAGTGTATGACTTTTGCAGGAACACAGATGGAAATGGAGGCTATTATATTTAGCAAACTCAAGCAGGAACAGAAAATCAAATACTATGTGTTCTCACTTATAAGTGGAAGCTAAATGATGAGAACACATGGACACAAAGAAGAAAAACACAGATACTGGGGTCTACTTGAGAGTAAAGGGTGGGAAGAGGGAGAGGAGCAGAAAAAATAACTACTGGGTACTGGGCTTAACTCCTGGGTGATGAAATAATCTGTAAAACAAACCTCCGTGACATGAGTTCCCTCGTATAACAAACCTGCACATGTTCCCCAAACCTAAAATAAAAGTTAAAAAAAGAGGATTAAAAAAAAAATTCAGGTGTAACTTAGCTGAGTCTTCTGGCTCAGGATATCTCTAGGAGATGTAACCAGGTCTTGGCCATGACTACAGTCAATCAGTGCTTGAGGGGAAAAAATCTCTCACCAGCCTCACTCACATGTTGTTGAAGGCTCAGTGCCTCCTGAGCGATTGGACCGAACCTCAGTTTTTCACTGGCTAGCGGACAGAAGCCAACGTCACTTCCTTGTGACAGGTACCATTTCATAAGGAAGCTCATGGTGTGACAGTTGACTTTTAAAAGAGTAAGCAAGCAAGAAGAACCAGAGACAGAGAGAGCACACAAGACAGTTGTTGCTGTTTGTTTATATACCAGTCGCAGAAGTGACATCTTACCACCTTTGCTGCATTCCCTTCCTTAGGAGCAAGTCACTAGATCCAGCCCACGTCCAGGGGAGTGGATTACACAGGGCATGGATTCCAGGAGCTGGGGATCACTGAGGGTCATTAGAAGTTGTCTATCCCAGACAGCATTTGTTCTGTGGTTCATAAGGCATGTATCTTAGAGAAACCCTCCCCTGCTTGGATGTAGCAGAAATAGTGAGGCAGGTTGTATAGCTTAGAATCAGAAAAATGGGGAAGTAGGTGAGTTATACCCTGGAATTATTTTAAGTTGGTCCATTAGAAGATATGTGAATAATTTCTGGTCCTCTTAGCAAGAGATGAAATAGCATTTTCTCTTTATCTGGCCCCAGTAGGGAAAGTCAAGAGAAAGTTCTTTATTACCCCCTTCAAAAATAAAGATGACCAAGTTATATTATAGTGAAATGGAACTTCTTGAGACCAGATCTACCTACTGCTTGCTGGGAATGTAACAGTTTGGGGCTGCAGAGTCTAGGAAGTGAAAAGGAACATAGATTAGTGAATCTTTAGATGATGGCTGGTCAGTAGTTGGTGAAATCAGGAGACAGCGTTGTACTGTTAGATTTTGTTACCCATAGGGAAGTCTCAAAAACTGCCTATTAACTTCCAGAATGCCTGAGGCTGGGTAAGTAAAATGACTATTTCATTCACATGATTATTACATGATATTGCTGAAGAAAGTAATTTTACCTTTTTCAAATGCCTGAGAAATTTTGCCAACTAAAATGCCTAATTTTGAAAAGCCATATTCCCCTTAAAAAATCAATTCAGGAAGACACATACTGTCTCAGAATGAGCGGTCTTCTTAACATCCCAATCTTCCTCCTCATGCCTTTGTCATTGGCAATGTGCATAAGGCTGTCTGCATTCTCTTTCTGAATTCAGGGAACACTAAAAGATGTAAGATTCCTGATGTGATATGTGATATAGAGGCTAGATGTGTGCTTTAAGCCTGAAAAAAGGAGCCATTTTTCAACAATTGTGGGTAGTCATGACATGAACATATATAGCATGATTATTTTCATCTACACAACCCAATATTGGATTGAACCATAGGGGTATGCCTACATTTGACTTTTTTTTTTTTTTTTTTGAGATAGAGTCCTGCTTTTTTGCCCAGGCTGGAGTGCAATGGTGCAATATTGGCTCACTGCAGCCTCTACTTCCTGAGTTCAAACAATCCTCCTGCCTCAGCCTCCCAAGTAGCTGGGATTATAGATGCCACCATGCCTAGCTAATTTTTTCGATCTTTAGTAGAAATGGGGTTTCACCAAGTTGGCCAGGCTGGTCTCAAACTCCTGACCTCGAGATCCACCCACCTCAGCCTCCCAAAGTGCTGGGATTACAGGTGTGAGCCACTGTGCCCAGCTACATTTAACTATTTTTGACCTATAAAAGTGGTTATTTCTTACGCCTTAACTAATAAGGAAATTCTAAGAAAACTTTATTTTTTCTCCTTATTGATTTTATAATTCTGTTTTTAGAAAAATGCAGCTAAGTCTTTAAGAATATTGTCATTTATCAATACTTACAATGTATTATAATAGAAGGCAGGCAGTGTCTTACATCAGAAACTCCTTTTCTTTGGCAGCCATATTAATTTTCACTCTTCTGTTTGTATTATGCTTGCACACCAAACTGATACAGATGGAAAACATATCTCATTTTCACCTGAGATGCATCAAAAATATGAGCATATGTCTCTACTTATATCTATTAAACTATTTTTGAAATTTCTCATCCTGGTATCTGAACGGTAAATACCCAACAATAGTCAGTGACTAAAATGCAACTGGATTGGATTATGATCTCTGCGTTAGGTTGTGTGGGAAGCGCTCTGCTCATGAGTGCACACTCTTAAGCTTGGGCTTGGTGCGTATCACCAAGCAGGACTTCTTTTAAAGTGTGTGATCACTGTTTTGCCGACGTCCTTGGTTATATCACTACCATTTCAATGTGATTGGTTGAAGCAACTTAAATAATGCAACGGCCTTTTCCCTCTGGGAATATGTCTCTCCAAACCATTTTTCTTCAGCCTGATTCCAGGTGTGTTCAGGGGACACACACATACACACAAATCACATGTGACTTAGTTATGATGGAAAATATTCAAGTGAGCTGTTCATTTTTCTTACCTACTAATCCTTCTTCTCCTGTCTCCTGCAGTTATTATGTGGGCATGTGTGGAGATGGAGCTAACGATTGTGGGGTGAGTAGAAATGGCTTTTGCTCAGGCAAGCCGCTCACTAATATCCCTCTGGAGGACCTCAGGCTCTCCTGGGGTTTGTCTCTCATCCTTCCACCAGCAACCATTTGATTATTTTGCTGTTTACATCCACCTCTACCTGAGTGTGGGTTGGAAGTGGAGGGGAGTAAAGGGAGATGAGACACTTTCGATGCTTTCTGGAAACTCCTAGAATAAACACAAAGGAAGGCTACTTAGATTCCTATATTTCAGGTTCCAAAGATGGAACTTTACAAGTCTAGCTGCTTTCAATCTTTCCTGTTATCAGTAATGAAATGATTTCTTAGGGATGTGATTTCTTTTCCCCCCTCAAGGTCACGCAACTGATAAAGACTCAGTGAAAAAAAGTTTGAAACTGATGATTAAAGTTTTGAATTATATGTAAATTATATTTATTCCTGCCAAACTTTCATTCTGTGGTTAGTTTTTAAAAGTTTCCTTCATCCAGAACTCTTTCACTCAGTAAAATCCTAGACCAAACTATTTAGTATTTTTATGCTATAGAAAAAGCTAAATAAAATGATTCTCAGCAAATTATTTTTCATATGCAGTAGAAGGGCAGTGAATGTTTTATATTCTGAGTTTTAAAGACATGAAGGAAACAAATAGTCTACCTTCAAGATTATGTACATAAGCAAATATTTCAGTAGCTGATTTATGGGACAAGAAGTGAGGAAGATTTCTTTGCATTTCCAAAGCTTATTAGAGATTTAAGATCTTGGTATTTGTTTTGTTTCTCTCTTAAATATTATTTCCAAATTTCTGTGAAAACTATGTTTATAGTTAGAGATTTATTAAGATGTTTTTTGCTTTATGTTTCATGAGAAAAAGCTAATTTTTAGTCTGTTCTTTCAAATCTAGACTGTGTATCCTTTCACATTAATTATGTGGAGTTTAGAATAAAACAAAAAAATCAAATGCTAAAAGGGACATAGTCTCTGCCTCCTAAAGAGTTCATTGTCTGATGAAGAAAGAATCATGAATAAAACTAACCCTAACATAAAGTAGATGGTCCTGAAGTATATAATAGAGATACGAAATAGAGATAAAAGAGGAAGAAGAAAATGTCCTAATATTTATTAAACATGAATCTAGTATGTACTGCTTATGGTGTCAGGTACCCTGTAGTTCTATGGAACTACAGATATATAAAAGTTCATTTTATGCCTGCACAATTCTTGTAGGATCGGACTAGGAAAAGGTGGGGATTCTATCTTTCACCTTTGTTCAAGGAGATTCCCACCAGGTACAAGAACTGAAATGGTGAAGGTCCCCAACCAACGTCCATCCAAATTTTGTCATCTTTTTAACTGACATTTTGAATGAGGGCTTCCATCTCCTTTTCACATCTATACTCCCCACAGGCAGGGCCCTTGTACGCACACGCTCACATGCACACACGCATGCATGTACACACACCACTTTTCTACCTCTGGGTCATTGTTTAGTTAGTGACTTTGTGGATCAGGGGAGAGAGGGCACTCCAGGTGGAGGGATAGCATAAACAGAGACCCAAACATGAAAGAGTATAGTGTTATACCTTCACGAGGTGAAGAACAGTCTCTTGGTGTTTTGAGAGGTAAAGCCTAGTCTGAAAAGTCATGGGTGAGACATGGGCTTATCATTCCAGGCTTTGAAAGTGGCTCATGCAGGCATTTCATTGTCAGAGCAGGAAGCATCTGTGGCATCCCCTTTTACCTCTAAAACAGCCAACATCAAGTGTGTGCCTCATCTCATCAGGTAAGTCATTTTTTCCTCTTCCACCCCTACAATCAGAGGGCCCATTGTCTAGCTCTGGAGACAGACAGAATTCAACTACAACCTAAAGTGATAAATGCTGCAACAGAGGTATGGGTGAAGTGCTATTGGCGAACTAATGAAGGGGACCATTGGTGTTACTCAGGAGTGCTGGTAAAAGCCACAGAAAAGTGACTTTTGCTGAGCCTTAAAGGATAGATGGGTATCATGTAAACAGTTGAAAGCTTGACTTGATGTTTTAAAACTAATCGTATTTCTTACTTTTTCTCTCCTCTATTTGGTATGTTGGATGCTTCCTGTGACATCCAAATTCTCAGGAATTTTGAATGGATGAGGAAGCAGAAAGGAAATACTTCATTAGATAGCTTCCCTAAATACTATTACATGTCTCCAAAATGCAAATTAGCAAATATCCAATATATTTTACATAAAAGATGTTACAGTTGATTGACAGTGTCAGGGAAGGGGAAGTGATATGGTTGGCTTTGTGTCCCCACCCAAATCTCATCTAGAGTTGTGGTTCCCAACCTGGTGCCTGGTGGGAGGTGACTGGATCATGGGGGCAGTTTCCCCAATGATGTTCTCATGATAGTGAGGGAGTCCTCATGAGATGTGATGATTTTTCAAGTGGCAGTTTCCCCTCCGTGCTTTCTCTCTCTTGTTCTCTTGTGAAGAAGGTGCCCACTTCTCCTTCACCTTCCGCCATCATTGTAAGTTTCCTGAGGCTTCCCCAGCCATGTGGAATTGTGAGCCAATTAAACCTCTTTTGTTTATAAATTACCCTGTCTTAGGTAGTAATCTTTACGGCAGTGTAAAAATGGACTCACACAGGAAAGCATAAGAGACATTCATTTTCACAGTATGCTTCCCTCACCTCCACTCCAGTCTCATTTCTGATCTCATGTCTACTAATATTTTAAACGTAGTTAAGAACAAAACACCCAGTTATATGTTTATTCATAAATCTGATTTCTCTATTGTTTCCTATAGCACTTAGGGTTAATTTCTGGGCATTTTCCTGGGCAGTGATCTGAAAGTCATTGCCGGATTTTGAGATTCATACAAAAAAGACAACTATGAAGTTCCCCAGCATGTCCTTTGGTACATCAGAATAAACAGGTCACTGGCAGGAATCACGGACCTACAGGTAGCAGGTCTAAAATTCCATGCCCTTGGCTGGCTGCATATCAGCAAGACAGCTTTACACAACACCCTGAACACTGGGTGTCTGTACCTGTGTCCTTTCACACCCTCAAACATGATCACTTCCCCTGCCTCCAAAGCAGCTCCTCTTCCCAACCCCCACTTTCCCTGCTTTTAAGAACAATTTACTCCTTAGAGTCTGCCACTGAGGTTCAGACCCTTAGAGTACATTTAACTCCTTCCTCTTCTTCACCCATAACCAAACGAGCATTATGTTTTGCTGATTTATTTTGCAGAGTCTCTCTAAGCACTTTGGTTACTATCTCTAGTGTCTTAACCTTGGTTTGTGTCATGGTGACTACACAATGATAGTACTCAGAACCCTCGCCTTATTTTATGCTTTTCATCATCAATACAACTCATGGAGCTCTTTACAAATGTGCTTGGAAATGTAAAGAATGAGAGAGTCTTGCCCCTGGAGAATTTACATTCCAGCAAAAATTGTGTGTGTGCATGTGTGTGTGTATATATATAGTATGTATATGTGTAATATACATACTTATATATAATTTACTGTCATCTTGATCTCTTGATCTTTATGGCCCACTCAGATTATTACCCTAGGGTCTTCCCGAAATATCAAAGCCAACATTACACATATGTATATGTGTAATATACATACATATATATACACACACACATACACACAAATATATACATTACTTATTGAGTGTCTCTCATGCATCAGGCATGTTTTATACACACATACACAATTTTTTATATATATACACACACACACACACACACACACACACACACAATGTCTGATGCATGGGAGGTGCTCAATACATTTTCTTGAAATCAATTAATGTCCAAACAATACAGCAAATGTTCTGGCAGTTGAGTGTGAGAACTCAAGCCAGGAGGGAAGGTTTCAGTAGGGGAGTTGCAACTTGAAAAATGGGTAAGACTTATGCAAACAGAAAGGAGGTGGGAAGGAATTCCAGGTGGGGAAAATGCGGCAGCCATGTTTAGACACAGTGTTGTAACTGGAGAATGCAGGGGCCAGTTGGCGCAACTGGGCTAGAAGACTTTTCGATGGGAATTGCGGTGGTTAAGCTAGAGAACCAGATGTGGAGGCCTTGCAGGGAGTTTGAGCTCCTGGATAGTAGTGCAAAGTGCCTACTTGATCCATTCAACATGCAGTGGCATTTGAACTTCAGATGCTCCTCCTCATGCATGTGGCCCAGTGTATTTATGAGTGCAGTATACTATTACGGAATACAAGTCAGGATGTAAAATTTCTCCAGTGGCAGATGGCTCAGTAAGACTCCAGGGCAGAAACTCCTTGCTTTTATATTTCATAGATTCATAAAAATTAGATATGGTTTAGCTCTGTTAGGCTCGTTTTACTTTTTCTATCCTTGATGCATACTTATTCCTGAGAAAGCACTGCAGAGAGGCAATGAGATACAGTTTTAGATGCATAGGTTCAAATCCACGGATTTTCATCTTTGTCTTTTGAAACATGATTTAGTTGTTGCTATAGTTCAAGTCCTTTAGGGCAAAGACTGTGTCTTAGTCATTTTTGTATCAACCATTATGCCTAGCACCATGCTGGGTACATCAGAGCATTCAGTGAATGTTTGTAGAATGCACAGATAAATGCATGATCTACTTACAATTTACAGTCATTAGGAATAGCAGTAATTTTGGAGGCTCATTTATCCTTTATTTAGAATGGTTTCTTGTATTTTCCTTTGAATCTGGGTGTCTTAATTTTCCTGGAACTATGCATGATTGCAGGAAAAAAACAATGAAATCACAATGTTTATATCAGACTTGAGAAAACGATCCATACTTCACATGCTTGCCCCTTCTCAGCTTGTCTTCTGCTCCATCCTCGGTGTTGAAAACAAATGACAGCACCTCACAGCTTGGTAGAAAATATCTTTCCAACATATCCTGGCTTCTCTCCCACCCTTGCCTTCTCATTTTGCCTGAGACAAAGTGGTTAGTAGTTTGGCTTTTAGGTTCTTCTTTTCATGTCCCTATTCCGTTGACCACATCTTTGAGCAGAGCAGGTGTCCATGTTACTGCGGACTAGAAATGAAGTGGATGTGGGTCACATCCCATGTGGATTGCTTCTGCCCTGACCAGAGGAGGCTTGAAGGAGAGCTGGTTTGCTGAGGTCCCACTCTGGCATCACGTGCTGCTACCTCACGTTGTTTTCTTTTAACCTGTCATAATCCACCATTCAGAAAACCTGGTACTGCATTAACAGCTAAGACTGAATTTTTTTAAAGGAGAAATATCTACTTTTTAAGTTGCATTTTTTTTACTGTCATCTTGATCTCTTGATCTTTATGACCCACTCAGATTATTACCCTGGGGTCTTCCTGCAATATCAAAGCCAACGTTACCCATTTCATCTCAAATATTAGAGTCACATTCACACTTCCTAAAATGTCAAAGCACCTACCCTTTAGCTTTGTGTCTGCAAGGACCTCTAAAGCACACACAGTGCAATTCCCAGGAAGCATGTATTGTTAAGATGTAATGAGTCACAAGGAAGTCAATACTTGACATTTTGCACCTTATCATAATGTTGTATTGTGTTTATAATACACATAGTAATCTTCTCACTTCACTGAAATCTTGTTGAAAACGAGGAGTGTGCCTGATTCATTTTATATCCTCTATGACTGTTAGCATAATGCTGGTACTTCATAAGCCCTAAATAAAAAGTAAATGAACCGATGAGTAAGGTAATGATTGAAGGAGAGAATGAATGAATGAGTGGTTAAATAAATGAGAGGATGAATTCATGATTAAGTGAATGTATGTCAACAGGCTACTAAAAATATAACTCCTTCTAAATATAAAAGAAGTTGGGAGACATCTATCATATATAACCAATTTTTATTTTTATTTCTTTTTAAACAGAGAAGGCCGAGCTGCTCTGGTTTCCTCCTTTGGAGTATTTAAATACTTGACCATGTATGGCATAATCCAGTTTATCAGTGCATTACTGCTCTATTGGGTATGAACCAAATCATTTCGTCTCAGTTCTAATCGCATTTATGTCCCTAATTTATTATTCAGGGTATAGCTCCTACACAAGATTTAATGTTTTATAAATAAATGACACTTCTCAAAATAGGTGTCTGCAAACTCAGGAACCTGGTATAACTGTGCATGAAATGTGGAACTAGAAATAAGTAGATATAGATGAGTTTTCTAGCGTTTTGTTTTTCTCTTGATAACCTGAGACTCTTGACCTCTCCAAACCCCTGTTTCTTCTTTTGGAGTATGAAGAGAGCTTCAGAGCAGCCTAAATATAATTCAGCAGGAAATGGATGAGTCTCCAATTGTGGAATATTTTCAACAAAAGGCTAAGAAGAGATAAAAAGGAAGAGAAGTTGTTGAATTTGCTTTTGAAGGACTAGAATGCTAAAGACCTTTCACAATGGACCCTTATTCCTGAATATACTTAGAATTTATACAGTCAGGGATATCATTAGTAAAGAATCAGAAATTATTTGAAACTAAAAAAGACTCAAAATTAAATGATGATAATAGCCATTTAAAAATTAATTAGCTGTACGAAAGAACTATGTATAGGCTAAAAATAATCTTCATTAGTCCAATCATAGCTTGTACTACAGTAAAATGATCCAACAGGCTCAAGGAACACTTCAGGAGGGATTATTCTGTTGCTTTCCTGGGAGGTTTGAGAAGTGAATAAGAGGACTACAAGATTGTACCATCCAGTGGACTATTGCTTTCAAGGATCACACACACAGGGCTCAAAGGCAGCCTGGTGGGAAGAAACAAGAACTGGACTGGGAGTCAGAAAACCTGGATTCAAGTTCTTCCTCCATCCAAAAAACAAATTAGGTCTTGCCTTTGGCCAAAACCTGCTTCTGGGTAGCTGATTTTTCAGAGCCCTCCATAGTTCCATGAAAGCTTCTCCTAGAAGAAAAACTAAAGGTGTGGTTGGAAATTTCTTCTGCTCCATCTCATTCTGAATGTATAATTTTACCACTCTCAGGTGAAAAGAAGAGGAAAGGATATGAGAAAGAAAAGTAAAGACGACAGAGGAAGAATTGGAGGTTGACAGGGACACTGAGGAACCAATGGCAGCCTTTCAAACATGTGACAGCAGAAATTCCTTCTCAAAGCCTCCATGGATGGATGTAGAAACCATAGTCCACTCTGCAGCCATTCATTCTAGTGGTCTAGACCTAAATAAGAGTGTCGCAGAAGAACCTTAACCTGGTACCTTCTGGGACTTGGATTCACTGTCTGAGAAGCCAGCAATACTTTCCATGTGCATAAATCTGGTCTATAATGTGCTCAGAATCAGTTTATAGTTTAGTGCTTAGTCAACAGATATGAAACAGATAAACAGACCTGGCTGCAAGAGATATTGCAAGGCACCTTCCTAGAGAGTCATGGTTTGACTTTCATCTCTAAATACTTCAACTCTATAATGTGAACTTGAAAGAAGTTCTGTCTACACCAACCTTAAAAGGCAGATGTACCAGATTGAGTTCTGCAATGGGCTTACTTGGGGTAGGAGCCTTAGTTCAGTTTGTGAAAGTGAATGGACTCCAAGAGACCTATGCTGTAAACTCATACCAAGGGTGAGGATGGAGAGCAACGTCTATTGAATGAATTGCGCCTTCACTTCAAATTTTAAGTGTAACATTTCTAAGGGAACATTCAGGCTTTAATATCTTATGTTGAGAATTCAACTGCCTAGGCTGAGACTGCAGCTGTCAGGTAATTTTTGGTTTTTTTTTTGAGACGGAGTCTCGCTCTGTCGCCCAGGCTGGAGTGCAGTGGCCGGATCCCAGCTCACTGCAGCTCCACCTCCCGGGTTTATGCCATTCTCCTGCCTCAGCCTCCCGAGTAGCTGGGACTACTGGTGCCTGCCACCTTGCCCAGCTAGTTTTTTGTATTTTTTAGTAGAGATGGAGTTTCACCATGTTAGCCAGGATGGTCTTGATCTCCTGACCTCGTGATCCGCCCGTCTCGGCCTCCCAAAGTGAGCTGTCAGGTAATTAATGCACCCAACAGGAGGGTGGTTCTCAAATACTTGACTTCTGTCACTAATATGAACTAGGTTAAATGCAGGGAAAACAGTCGCCTGGCCTCATTCTGTACAATGAGATGCTAATAATTTTAGGTAAGTCATTTTCTTCCTGAAGAGGGGAAAAAAGTAACAGCTGCCTCCTAACGACTTAAAAAGAGTGTAGGGAATAATAGAAAGGCTATGATGGCACATGCCATATTTATATTTGCTTTTGTTTCTTTTTCAGCAACTACAACTCTTTGGAAATTACCAGTATCTCGTGCAAGATGTAGCCATTACTTTGATGGTCTGTTTAACAAGTAAGCTCTTTAGCAAAGAAAACTGCATTGTTTAATATTTATCTATGAAATTCTAGAAACAGTCACACAAAAAGGAACTTTTGAGAAAGAGGCATCCTTATTTCTAAAACTTCATTATTTACGAATTTTTTAAAAGTGATATTGGGAGTAAGTTGAGAGTTGAAATCCCAAGACTTGGCATTAAAACATTCTGATAACAAATAGGTCTTAGTCACAAAAAATTGTCAATGTAGTCCAACTTCTCTGTAGTTTTATGTCTTGTGCATAGAAAAATGAATACAAAATCTAGAAAGGGAATTTTTTAAAACCCAAAGGTCACTTTCCATTATTCAGCTATGCTTCACGTTGACATGAAACCAGATTTTTGCTAGGTATTTGATGTGTGAGAACAAATGCTAACATTTTATTTTAGTAAAATTCTCCAAAAGCAAGGTGTGGCTTCCAACAGCAGCTATTGCTCATTTCCTTCCTTTGACATGACACTGATAAAGTACTTCCTGTCAAGGAACTCAGGGCTTGATGCTAACTCTTAATAAGTGAGAAAGGTGACTGCCTCACCAGAGAGCAAGGAAAAAGAATGGCACTGTCATCTCTTTTTCCTTGCTCAACAATAGGCATGTTATGAAAAATAACAGATAAAACATCAGGCAATGCAAGATATTAATAACCTTGAGAATTTCATGTAGCATCTTAATACATAAAACTGATATGTTTTATGTATCAACCCAGTGACCAAATTTATCAGTATCAGAGATATAAGCACTAAAATATCAATTTTGATTCTTAGGGTTGAAATGTCTATTCATAGCTCATTAAAATATTTGTCTAGATGTTATTAATATTCATATGACTGAATAATTTTGCATCAATGAAATTGCTTCTACAGTGTTGGATATTTTAAGCAATTTGTATGACTTATTTGTGAATGATGCTAAAGAGAGAAAAAAACACCAAGAGGTTTCAAGAACCAAGCTTTCAGGCAGCGGCATGGAGGTGAAGGCCATGGCTATCGTGGCCTGTTTCCGTGACCTCTGGCTAACTGTCCTCATAGATTTGTGAGGATCAGATACAATGATGCTGGTAGAGTGTGTATCACAGCACAGGACACACTGAGCACTCATTACAATGAGAATCATATCTCCTCCTTTTCCTCTTTTGAGAAGACTGACTAGCTTTCTGAGCACTTGAAGAGCATTAGAATGTGTACACATAGACCAGTGTCATTAGAAATCCAAAAGCATGGATGGTCTTCCTAGTTCTAGTCTTGCCTCAGACTTGCTATATGACACTGAGCAAGTTATTTGGAGCTTTTGCACACTTAATTCCATGACATTAGTTATGTGGTAGTGGGGCCGCTTAACTCTTTCCCACAGCAATAGCCTGTTGAGACTCATGCCAGTTGGTAGCCCTGGGAAACTCAGTCTCGCCTCTCAGAGTGGGCTCTATGGGAGTGCTGGGATGACTCATAGTGGGACCATGATTACCACGAGGAGAAAAAAAACCTCAGAAGGGTGATGATAGACCAGACACATAACATTCTATCAGAATGACGGCGCTTTAATTATTACTCAACAAATTGTAGCTAGTAAATGAGGTAAACTCAGGGAGACTGGTGAAGAAGAGAGTAAAGGCAGAAATCAGCTATGTTTGTTAGTTCGTTTTTTACCCTCTACCTGCAAACATCCTACTGTTTTCCCGTCTCTGCAAGCTTACTCATCTCACAGGCTGATCATTTCCTGGTCAAGTCTGAGTATTAAGATATCTTATCCTTAGACATGAAAAATCTAGGTATTATAATTATTATTTCACATTTTCATCGAATTCAAAGCTTTTCTTCCCTTACATCAAGCCTGAACTATGGGCTTGGGGCAAGCAGTAGACAAGAAGGCCATGGTCTCTTCTTCACTTCCTTTGAGTCACCTACTCTTCACCCCTGTTTCTGGGGAAGAAGAGCAACAAGAGCAAAGGACTTATTTTTATGTTCTTTTTTTTTCTGCTGCAAATTTTAAGTTCCAGGGTACACGTGCAGGATGTGCAGGATGTGCAGGTTTGTTACATAGGTAAACATGTGCCATGGTGGTTTGCGGCACAGATCAACCCATCACCTAGATATTAAGCCCAGCATTCATTAGCTATTCTTCCTGATGCTCTCCTTCCTCCTTGCCCTTCCCAACAGGCCCCAGTGTGTTTTGTCCCCCACCATGTGTCCATGTGTTCCCACTGTTCGGCTCCACTTATAAGTGAGAATATGCAGTGCTTGGTTTTCTCTTCTTGCATTAGTTTGCTGAGGAGCAAATGGAAAAACACTCCATGCTCATGGATAGAAAGAATCAATATAATGAAAATGGCCATACTGCCCAAAGTAATTTATAGATTCAATACTATTCCCATTAAACTACCATTAATATTCTTCACAGAATTAGAAGAAACTATTTTAAAACTCATATGGAACAACAACAAAAAAAAGAGCACGAATAGCCAAGACAATCCTAAGCAAAAAGAACAAAGCTGGAGGCATCATGCTACCTGACTTCAAACTATACTACAAAGCAACAGTAACCAAAACAGCATGGTACTGATAGAAAACCAGACACAGAGACCAATGGAACAGAACAGAGAACTCAGAAATAAGACTGCACACGTACAACCATCTGATCTTTGACAAACCTGACAAAAACAAACAATGGGGAAAGGATTCCCCATTTAATAAGTGGTGCTGGGAGAACTGGCTAGCTATATGCAAAAAATTGAAACTGGACCCCTTCCTTACACCTTACACAAAAATTAACTCAAGTTGGATTAAAGACTTAAGTGTAAAACCCAAGACTATAAAAATCCTAGAAGAAAATCTAAGCAAAGGACTTTTTACTTAAGTAGGAGTACGTAGTGCTCTCCTGTCAAATGCCCTCAAGTATGGCAGGCACCTACATTTAGGCAATAGGCACGGGGTTCATTGGTGAAATCATCAGAGCTCCCTGTGGACAGGTGTGGACTAGACCACGCCCTGACATAGTGGTGCTCTCTCCCTCTGACTTCTCAGGATTCCTTTCTGCAGCTGCCTCCTAGTGGTACATACATGAAGCCCTTTTCTACTGCTGGGCCCTCCAACCCCAGCAGGCTGCCACATGGATAAACTCCTTCCAGGATAGCTAGCTGTAGCCTATCTATCAAGGCTAATTTCCATGGCTTCTACTTAACCTACCAGACAGTAAATAAGTAGCTTGCTCTCACTGCTGCCTGCCCTTTCCCTCTGCTATTACCATGAAGAGGAGTGAGCAAGGCCAATATCCTCTCTTAAAACCACTTCCAGTCTCTCTAACATTGGCTCTTATGACTTCCCCTCATGGGGTTGTGGTGATGCTGAGAAGAAAGCCACAGTTTACATTGCTCCTAACAATTGCCTTTAAAGAATTGCTTGATAATCTCCATGAGTTTTCCTCTTATACAGACAGCATGCAGCAAATTAGGCAGGAACAAGCATGCTTATAGTTAAATAACCAATATGGATCTCTCTTGCTAGGTACTATGGAGATATGGCGACAATCTCTCTTCACAATAAATAGGCACTTGCAATTCATTGTCCTCAAATATAAGGCTCAGCACAATTCTCTAGACAAGAGAAGCACCATTCAACATTCCCTTATACAAGTGTTCATCTCTCGCTGTCTATTAGCCACATAGGTTCCTGGGGCATGAGAAGACTGATTGTTCAAGTTCAGAGTTTAGTGGGGGATTCACATACATGAACAAATAAGACGCAAGTTAAAAGTAGTGAGTAGCAGAAAACAGCAGATGCTTTGGGAGTTCAGAGAAAGAAGAGATGTTTTCTGATAATCTGGGGTTAAGGAGGAGATAGCAGTGGAGAAAGGAGAAAGATACTAGGCACTGATGCATGAAAGAAGTAGCATTCGCATCAAAATAGGAAGGATGGATAAATTTCAAAGATCTTTTGCTAAAAGAAGAGCATTTCAAGTAGAAGGAAGCAGTATGAGCAAGAGAAAGCTGATAAATATGGGGTATGAGTTTTTAATGTGACCACACTGCAGCGTATGTGACATCTTTTACTGAAAAATTGAAAAAGTGAATTGGGTCAAATCACAGAGAATCTTGACTGCTGGTCTGAGAACTGTGGACATTTATCTGCAGCCCTTAGGAGTCATCACCAATTGATGATCAATGTAAAATTACAGATGTCCCTGATTTACGATGGTTTGACTTATGGTTTTTAACTTTACAATGGTGCCAAAGTGATGCACATTCAGAAGAATGCTACTCTCTTAGGATGCTGGGCAGTGGCAGCAAGCTGCCGCTCCCAGCCAGCCCAGCAATCATGAGGTTAAACAACAGATACTCAACATTGTACTGTGTTGCCAGATGATTTTGCTCAATTGTAGCCTAATTAAGTGTTGTGAGCATGTTTGAGCTAGGCTAGGCTAAACTATGGTATTCGGTAGGTTAGGTGTACAGTATAGATGTATTTTCAACTTAAAAATGTTTTCAGTTTGCAATGGGCTTATCAGAAAGTAACCCCATTGTAAATCAAAGGGCATCTGTATTCTCTTTAAGGCTTCCTACATTTCCAAGTTTCCAGATTAAGGCTTTTGGCCTTAACTCTGAATTGGTTCTGGGAAGAGACAATACCATCACATATTTAATTTATTTACTTACTTACCTATACACACCCTGCCTTGTTCCCACAAGGTTTTAAGGCAATGTATGGAGACAAAATATAATGCATTACACAGAAAATCTAGAAGAAAAATAAGATGAAGTGAGGAGGGATGTTGATCAGGCAATGCATGTCTGGAAGTCCAATTTGACTCTATTTTGTGTAGCGGTATTTTTAAGGGAGCTTGTTTTGCCACATCTCTGTCCTTGTCAACAAGAACTCAAATTAGGTCAAGAAAATAGAGGGAGGGTTTGTTTAAGAACATAATTCTCAAAAAATCTAAGAACAGGAACTCGGAAGCACCTGGGTCTGAGGAGGACTAGAACACTAAAGGGTAAAAATGGAGGTCACTTTCTTTATTTCCAGGTGGTCACCTTGTGTCTCTTCTTTCCATTCTTACTGTTTCCATCTCTCTTCCATTTATTCACCTTACAGCTGACCTCATAAAATGGCACTAGGACTGGGGCTTTGCAGCCTTTATGTTTGTCATCTTATAGCAAATGAGCCTAGCCTCTCATTGTCCCATTTGCAAATATTTTGGAGAGAAAATTTATCAACCTGACTTGGATTAGATGCCCACCTCTAGGCCCCTCATTTCTCTGAATGAAGGTGGGATCATGAAATTCAGATCCATTTAGACCAGCCATTCCAGGCCCTTGGAGAAGGCAGTATCCAGAGAAGGAGGTACGGAGGGACTCACCCATTATATAAGTGTATCTCTATACCCCATCTGTGTTTCAATGACTCCTAACCTTTTCTGGGTCTTGGTCCACTTAAATAATCTGATGGAAAATACAAATCATTTCATCTTAGAAATCTCACGATACACACTTACATTTTTCATGTAGTTTAGGTGGGTTCATGAACCTCCTGAAATTTGTCTTATATGATTTTCAGTGTTTGGAATAAAAAGTAAGCCAACTACTTAGGATGAAACACAACTATGAGATATCCAAATGATGCTAAATAATTAAAAACTGTAAGAATAGAATTTGAAACTGTGAAGCCTTCCCATGCAATAGATCCGGTGCTGGGTTTAGTAAGAAACAGAATGTGGAATGAGACAGGATTTCTTCCTTCAGGGAGCTCAGAGTCTGCTGAGTACAGATGTAAACAACTAGATTTAATGCACGACACCCTGCACTATAGTAGCAATGTGAGTAATGTGTTGTGGGAACTCAGAAGGGAGAATGATTAATTTTGAATACTGTATAACACTTCAGAAGTTAGTATTCCTCTGAATACAATCTGATAGCATATATCATCATCATTTTAAGGAAACCCAGATAATGCAGAAAAGTTTTTTGGGGGGATCCTCATAAACAGTACTACTATCCAAGCTTGTATTGCAGGGCTCCTCATTTTGTTCTTTTAATTTTTGAGATGCATCATACTGCAATATGCTGTAGAGCAGAGAACATAGGGCTTCACAATCATAAATACTTGGGTTTCCAGTGCCATGCTGTCACTCACTAACTGTGGGTTTTCAAGCAAAGGAAACTAATTTTTTGAGCCTCAGTTTCTTCACCTGTAAAATTTACCTATTTTGCTTTTAAGGAAATAAAAATCATGTTTATAAACACTTAGTACAGCCTCTGAAACCTAATAGATGTCCCACAATGGTAGCCATAAAATTATTTTTATTTATAATCAGGTATACAGATTCTCTGTCAGAAGGAGTAAGAGTCTCTAACACGGAGAAAGTCAGAATATTCTGTGTAAGAACCCTGTAGGCATTAGGTATTGCCTCAATAATGCTGTGTAACCACCCACCGCCAAAACTCAGCATTTACACCATCAGGCAGTTATTCTTCCCATTTGTGGGTCTGTAAGTTGATTGCCATTTAGCTGATCTAGGTGAGCACAGCTGAGCCAGTTCACTCTAATATGTAGATCAGTTGATCTTGGTTAACGCTTTTGGATTTGATTCAGGTCTACTCCACATTTTTCATTCTGAGGCCAGGTTGAATGGACAGATTTGGTATTTTCTCATTGTGAGTCACAGAAAGCAGAGCCATAGAGCAAGCCCAGCTGTGCAAGCACGTTTGAAGTCTATGTTAACATCTCTTTGGCCAGAGAAAGTCACACAGGGAAGCCCAAAATTAAGGGATGACAAAGTATACCCCACGACTATGAAGCCAGCAATTCAGTCTACCACAGTTACTGTGTAAAAGAAAGGCAAGAAACTACAAGGAGCATGAGAGGGAAGACCAAAGAGGTAGAAGCCAGATGCACAGAGATGCAATTTTACCTCTCTCCACTACCTGTAGCCTCTTTATGAATTTATAGCTACATTCTGCTTTGGATACTGGAATACAGAGAGAACTCCAAGCAGTAAAGCTTCTGCCTTCTGTGACCTGGAAGCACAATTTCCTTGCACTTCTCAGCACTGATCACAGACCACGCTGTGCGCCCCTTCTTCGTGGACCCAAGCAATGGCTTCTGACACCAACCACCCAGAATTAGGGCAAACTTTAGAGATTAAGGGTACAGCCTCCACAAGAATGCCCTTACTTCAGACACCAGCCTCAAGTGTGGGGCTCTCTAGACCACCTGAACTTCTGATTAGTTGGCTACAAACTTAGGAGTTCCCATTACTCCCTCAGGTTCAACAATTTGCTACAATTTACAGAACTCAGGAAAGTGTTATACTTATGACTGCAGTTTTATTATAGCAAAAAGACATAAATCAGAACCAGTCAAAGGAAGAGACACCTAGGGCTAGGTCTATTAGGGATCTCAAACAAGAGAAACACTGCCATTGTCCTTTCCCCGTGAAGTCAGGATGCCTCACCCTCTTGGCACATTGATGGGTGACAATATGCAGGGTACTACCAACCAGGGAAGCTCACCTAAGCTTCGGCGTCTGGAGTTTTTATTAAGGTTTCATTATATAGACATGATTGATTGAATCATTGGCTGTTAAGTCAAACTCAGTCTCTAACCCCACTCCCCTACTGGAGATCAGGTTGACATCTTGTGGATCAAAGCTCCACCCTCTAATCATATAGATGGTCTTTTGGGCGTTGGCAGGACTCTTCCTGAGTCATCTTAACACAAACGCTCCTCATTCCCACCATGAGTCATCTTGTTAGCATAAACTCCCAAGGCCCACCATGCATAAGAAAAATACTCCTATCACTCAGGGCATTTCAAAGATTTAAAGGATACATACCAGGAAAAGCCAGCCATCTTCTTTATTACACAATCTGTCTGTGTCTTTCACTGGACTTCAAACTCTTTGAAGGCAGGTGGAATGTACTTCTCATCTCTGCACACCCCACAGACTCTAGCCCAGCACCCTGCCAGGAAAACATTGATTGATCTGGTATAGGTAAAGACTTAGTCATAGAGCTTTAGAATAAAAGAGTTGAAAGGGCCTTTGGGTACCATTTAGGCATTCCAACATACTCATTTTATCTGTGAGAAAATGAAGGACCAGGGAGTTTACATGATTACCCCAGAACACAGATTGAACAAACCAGAGACCTACTATAGAGTTTTATCATCCCAAATTGGACACCCATTTCCCCCTACCCTACCTGTACATGCAGAAATACACACTTAAATATGCACACCCCACTTTTTCCCTTACATCAAAGAAACCAGTGTTAAGCTGTGAGAAGGGAAGAGGTGACAGGTATGAAGACAGGAACTGAAACATGACTACAATATCAATCTTTAAATTCAAATTCCTGTCCTCCTCATGCTTCCTTCCTGCTCTGCCTTGAGAAGCAAATACATTTCATTTTCATCAGCATGTTCAAATATGTAGCTACTAAGAAGGATGTAGTTGTCTTTTTTAAATAGTTGTTCTTTTTAATTTCTGCCTATTTCCAAACCCTTTAAATAAAAAAAAACCCTGAAATCAAAAATACAATATAGTTTAACATTCTCATTTAGAAGCAATATTATTTATTTATTTGTTTGTTTATTTTTTATTTTTTTGAGACGGAGTCTTGCTCTGTCGCTCAGGCTGGAGTGCAGTGGCGTGATCTCGGCTCACTGCAAGCTCCGCCTTCTGGGTTCACACCATTCTCCTGCCTCAGCCTCCCGAGTAGCTGGGCCTACAGGCACCTGCCACCACACCTGGCTAATTTATTGCATTGTTTTAGTAGAGATGGGGTTTCACTATGTTAGCCAGGATGGTCTTGATCTCCTGATCGCGTGATCTGCCCGTCTCGGCCTCCCACAGAAGCAGTATTTTTAATGAGTTCTTTTTCTTTATGTAATATACAGCAGCAGTCCCCCATCCACCTGTGTATCGAGAGAGACACTTAACACATCTCTGGCATCCATCAGAGTGCCTGGCACCTATCACAGGGCCTGGCACACTGACATGCTCAGAGAAGGTTGGTGGAATGAATAATAGAGTGAGTGTTTTTTTTTTTTTTAATTTTCCAGCATATGAAGATGAATCTAGCTATCTTCCTCCTTATTCTCCTCATTCTAACTCTCCACTTTCCTGTCATCACTGAAACATATTAGTACTGCTTGTCCCATAAGGAAGGCCATTCCCTCTTTTACACACAATTTCTGGTCAGTCTGGTTATGGAGAAAATATTTGCACCATGTGATATGGTAAATCTAATAATTACATAACTTTCTAACCCACTATTTTTTATTTCTGAAGGTGAAGACAGACTGGATGTGCCACCAGGCAATGTGCTTACCTAGGTGTAAATCTTCTGTTCATGTCTGCTCAATCTGAATCCCAATGCCAGACTCAAGATAATATGCATCTCAACCTCAACCTTTTATTCTCAATGATAAGATTGTAATAGGAAAAAATGCATTTGTCTTTCAGTGAGTTCAACTCATGCCTACCCAAAGCTGGCTCCATATAGACCAGCAGGACAGCTCCTTTCTCCCCCTTTGCTGCTGTCAATATTTTTGAATTCCTGTTTCTCCTGCATTGTGCAGATCAGTGCATTTCTCTATGTGAAGCAGCAGCCTTGGTATTGTGAGGTCTACCAATATAGGTAAGTTCATTTTCTTAGTGTTCCTTTTGAAAGGTGATTTAATAAATAACCCATGACATTGAATAACTTGACTTGAGCATATACCCTAAAGCTTTTAATTAATAAAATTGTGTCGCTGCAAAACTCAAATGATGGGACAGAACACAGGTAATCCATGGACTACTGGGGTGGAGTGGGTGGGAAGAGATCTGTCACATTGGTTGTTAATGTATAGATCTAACAACTGGTTGGCTGAATGAATATATTAATTCCCTGGTACTTTGTACATTTTACAGACCAGGGGTTGGCAAACATTTCTTGTAGAGGGCCAGATCGTAAGTAGGCTTTGTGCACTACATGGCCTCTTTGCAGCTAGTCAACTCCACTGTTGCAGCACAAAAGCAGCCATAGACAATAGGTAAACAAGTGGGTGTGGCTGTATTCTAAGAAAACATTACCTACAAAATCAGGTGATGAATCAGATTTGGCCTGTGGGCTGTAGTTTGCAGGCCCCTGATATAGACATATGAGAGAGATTTGTTTACATTATTTTGCTTTTTCCCAAATGAACATTAAAGTGTGAGTTGATGGTATCCTTGTTCTGATTGAATTGGAACACGACATTCGGGACATCTCTTTACTTCCCTGGGCTTTAATGTTTTTGAGGTAGGCTATAGTGCCAATGGCTCAAGCTTTATTTTGCTGACAAAGCCTTTCTGCCGGTAAAAGAAAAGGCAGGAAAAGAGCTGCTCTCTTTGAAATAGGACATGTGCAAACTGCCCCTCACTCCACAGAGCACCAGAAATCAGTAAAAACACAGATTGAAAACTAGCAAATGATGAGGTTGTCATTTAGATTTAAAAAAAAATTCAGCAATTCAAGTATAACTAGGGATATAGAATCTCATTCCGTTTCAAAACTAGATTTTTTCCAAAATTGGAGTGCATATACTCAGAGAACTCAAGTTTTGACTGAACCTAGAAGACAGTATGTTGTAGCCAAAGGAGGATGGATAGGAAATCAGGAATTCTAAGAATTCCTGACTCTATCACTAACTAGATGTGCCAAACTGGCCCTCAATTTTATTACCTTAATGTAAATATATTGGACTAGATACTCTTTGGTATTAAACTCTATAATTCAGGCCATCTAGTCTGTCTGTTCCTCTTTTTGTAAAAATGCTTTGTGACTATGGAACATCTACTATAGGCCTACCTCAGAGATATCGTGGGTTTGGTTCCAGACTACCATAGTAAAGTGGATATTGCAATAAAGCCAGTCACATGAAGTTCTGGTTTCCCAGTCCATATAAAAGTTATGTTTACACTATACTGTAGTCTGTCGGGTGTGCAATAGCATTATGTCTAAAAAAGTACGTGCCTTAATTTCAAAATTTATTGCTAAAAATGCTAATGATCATCTGAGCCTTCAGCAAGTCATAATCTTTTTGCTGGTGGAGAGCCTTACCTCAAGTTGAGTGGCTGCTGACTGATCAAGGTAGTGGTTGTTGCAGGCTAGGGTAGCTGTGACAATTTCTTAAAATAAGACAACAATAAAGTTTGCCTCGTTGATTGACTCTTCCTTTCTTGAGATATTTCTCTGTAGCAAGTGAGGCTGTTTAACAGCATTTTATCCCATTTCAGTACTTTCAAAATTGAAGTCAATTCTCGTAAACCCTGCTGGTGCTTTGTCCAGTAAGCTTATATAATATTCTAAATCCTTTGTTTTCATTTCAACAATGTTTACAACATCTTCACCAGGAGCAGATTCCATCTCAAGAAACCACTTTCTTTGCTCATCCATATGAAGCAACTCTTCATCCATTCAAATTTTATCATGAGATTGCAGCAATTCAGTCACATCTCAGGCTCAACTTCTAATTCTAGTTCTCTTGCTATTTCCACCGTATCTACAGTTACAACCTCCACCGAAGTCTTGAACCCCAAAAAGTCATTCATGAAGGTTGAATCAACTTCTTGCAAACTTCCGTTAATATTGGTTAATGTTGATGTTTTTACCTTCTCCCATGAATCATGAATGTTATGAATGACATCTAGAATGTTGAATTCTTTCCACAAGGTTTTCAATTTTCTTTGCCCAGATCCAATAAACAAATCACTCTCTATGGCAGCTATAGTCTTACAAAGTGTATTTCTTAAAAAATAAGACTTGAAATTTGAAATTACTCTTTAATCCATGGACTACAGAATAGATGTGTATTAGCAGGCATGAAAACATTAATTTCCTTATACATCTCCATCAGTGCTCTTGGAGGGTGACCAGATGCATTGTCAATAAACAGTAACATTTTGAAAGGAATCTTTTTTTTCTAAGCAGTAGGTCTGAACAGTGGGCTTGAAATATTCAGTAAACCATGCTGTAAACAGATGTGCTGTCATCCATACTTTGTTGTTCCATTTCTAGAGCACAGGCAAAGTAGAGTTAGCATAATCCTTAAGGGCCCTAGGATTTTCAGAATAGCAAATGAGCACTGGCATCAACTTAAAGTCACCAGCTGCATTAGCCCCTAATAAGAGAGATAGCCTCTCCCTTGGAGCCTTGAATCCAGTTATTGACATCTCTAGTTATTAAAGTCCTAGAAGACATCTTTTTCCAATAGAAGAGGCTGTTTCATTTCCACTGAGAGCTGTGTAGTCACCTTCATTAATTGCCTTAGTTAAATCTTCTGGATCACTTGCTGCAGCTGCTACAAGACTTGCTGTTTCACCTTGTACTTTTACATATAGAGACACCTTCTTTCTCTCAGTCTTAGGAACCAACCTCTTGCTAGTTTCAAACTTTTCATCTGCAGCTTCCTCACCGCCTTCAGCCTTCAAAGAATTGAAGGGAGTTAGGGCCTTGCTCTGGATTAGACTTTGGCTTAAAGTAATGTTGTGGCTGGTTTGATCCACTATCCAGACCACTGAAATTTTCTTCATATCAGCAATAAGGCCATTTTACTTCCTTATCATTCATGTGTTCACTGGAATAACACTTTTAATTTTCTTCAAGAACTCTTACTTCGCATTCACAGCTTGGCTAACTGTTTGGTGCTAGAGGCCTAGCTTTTGGCCTGTCTTGGATTTTGACATGCCTTCCTCACTAAGCTTACCCATTTCTAGTTTTTTATTTAAAGAGAGAGACATGTGACTCTTCCTTCCAGTTGAACACTTAGAGGCCACTGTGGGATTATTAATTGAACAGATTTCAATATTATTGTCTCTCAAGGAATAGGGAGGCCCCAGGAGAGGAAAAGAGATGCAGAGTCAGTCAGTCAGACACACACAATATTTATCGATTAAATTTGCATTCTTATAAAGGCACAGTTCGTGGCATCTCAAAACAATTACGATAGAAACAGCAAAGATCACTGATCACAGATCACAATAATAGAGGTAGTAATTATTTCAAAAAGTTTAAAATATTGCAAGAATTTACCAAAATGTGACACAGAGACAAAGCAAGCACACAGTGTTAAAAAATGGTGCCAATAGACTTGCTAAATGCAAGGTTGCCACAAACATTCAATTTGTAAATAACGCCATATCTGGGAAGCACAATAAAGTGAAATACAATAAAGCAAAGTGTGCCTGTATGTGCAAAGCACACTTCTAGACTACAGGGAGCCCAGGATAATAAGTATTAAGTCTTGCATTTGAGTTCACGTTAGAAAATGAATCCTTATTTATAAACAGTTGTAATAGTGGTTTAAAAGTTTCAAGCTGAGCAAGAAAGCTGGTGGAAACTAATTTATTGGTTTAATTATTTAAAAAAAGAACATTGGAAATAGATCAATCAGGACTGGGAAAGCTCATATCTTGGGCAAATATTTTTTTTTTGAGTAAATATTATGTGACCTCACTGTGCTAGGTGCCAAAAATCTATTGTAAATTTGATTAAAACCAAAAAATAAAACCACAAAAAAATCCTATATTCTAGGAATTCACATCCCAAAGACATAAAATAAAATTATGTAAATAAAGAATTGCAAAACAATGAGCTTGCAAAAGTAGTTGTTTTGCAATTCTTTATTTACATGTGCTATTGCCTTTAACTGAGATAACATTTTTTAAAATGCCTTTTCTCTTGTGGGCACTACTTCCACTTGCCAGCAAAAGTAAAGGCATTTTACTTTTGATGCAGAGATGTTTGAAGGATGGATGTTATATCTCAGTTAAAGGCAAAAGCACATCCAACCCAACAGGTATGCAAATTGATATGTGGGGAACAGGGAATAATCCTGTATGTTTGGAGTGTATAGAGCATGGGAGGAGTGGCAAAAGGTAAGACGGAAAAGGTAGAGTGAGACCAGGATGCAGAGATCTCATAGGCCAGTTGGAGAAGTTTGAGCTTAATTTATCAGCAAAATAGAGCCGTAGACCCCTTATAAGCAGCAAATTGTCATGTTCAGATTTTCAGGAAGATCCTTTAGCTATGCGAGGGAAGTAAATTGGAGTGGGAGATTCAAACTCAAAACGCAAGTTAGGAGTCTTGCTTAGTCCACAAAACAGAAAACAACACACACACAGCTTAATTGACATGGTGTATTTACTCTTTGAATTGATAGGAATTCATAAAATATTGTCATTCAGGTCCTTTCAAGGTAGATCACTTGTTCCAAATGGAGTGCCGGACAAAGAACAATCTTGACTTCCTTTTATTTCTGCTTTGTCATTGCAAGGGGTGAACAGAATATGTCTTGGTAGTTACTGGCTGACATAGTTTGAAAGCTAAAATCCCATGGTAGTGATTAAACTATTTTTTTTCACCTAATGGATAAAAATGGAATAAAATGTTTCATAAACACTGGTGATTCTTTTGTAGTGAGTGTTTCCTGGCCAACCGAAGTAATTTTTCAACAACTATGAGTCTGGAAAGAAACTGGACTGGAACTGCAACTCTGATTCCTGGTTCAATTTTAAGTTTTGAGACCACCACACTGTGGCCCATCACCACCATCAACTATATCACAGTAGCATTCATCTTTTCTAAGGGAAAGCCATTTCGAAAACCCATCTATACAAACTGTAAGTATATAAAGTTTAATTTTTCTTTCTGAATACTTTCCCATTCCCTTTCTCACCCTAGAGTTGTACCTCACTGGAAAATGATGGGCTGAGGGAGAAACAACTGTGTGACTCTAAAACTGTTGTTGAATGCCGTGGTCATGGGTGATAGAGCCCACGTGCAGAAATCTGCTTGTTTGCAGATAAGCACGGACATCATTTAACTGTCGGGAGTCTTGTCCTATTGTGAGTCACGAAGAATCATTTTAAACACACACATGCATGTGAAGATACTTTATAAAAGGCTTTAACCAGTTCAAATGTAAATTGACCTCTTTAGCCTTGTAACATTGGGCAAGTTACGTTAACTGTTCTATGACCTTGTTTCCTCATTGGCAGAATGGGAGGCAGTATCCTTAATTTGTTAAGTCCTGAGGGAAGGACTAAACAAAGCATTTTCTGGAATGGGCCTAGCACAATTTATGTAAAGGATCTGACGCTTATAATCGGGGCTCAAAAAATCTTATTTACTTTCCCAGTATATTAATTTAAGTAGAGTTTTAAAGAAACTCTTCGAAGCTACAATTAAGATCCTCTCAGCTAAGGCTGGGAGTGGTGACTCACTCCTGTAATTCCAGCACTTTGGGAGGCTAAGGTGGGAGGATTGCTTGAGTTCAGGAGTTTGAGACTAGCCTGGGCAACACAGTGAGACCTTGTCTCTAAAAAAATCTTTTACAAATTAGTTGGGCATGGTGGCTCTTGCCTATAGTCCCAGCTACCTGGGGAGGCTGAAGTGAGAGGATTGCTTGAGCCTGGGAGTTCGAGGCTGCAGTGAGCTGGGATCACACCACTACACTCCAGCCTGGGTGACAGAGCAAGACCCTGTCTCAAAAAAAAAAAAAAAAATCATCAGGCCAAAGAAGCCAGAGAATATGCCCCATCATTATTGACCAGACTGGGACACTCTTTAGGAGTGAAGTGAGACATGATTAATAATTATGCCAGGCTTAAACAGAGAATGTCAAGGCAAACTAGATACATGATACCTATCCAGATATTGCATGATAAAGACGGTCACCCTGTCTATCATGTAATTGGCTTCAGTATGATAAATAATGCTATAAAAATATACTTGTGTAAATTACTTTGACTTAGCCTCTTATTTCCTTAGGATAACAAAATTCAGTTAACTGGTGGAATAGTGTGAAAATGTCAAAGCCTGGAATACACAATTTGAAGTTGCTTTCTAGAAAGTTTGTACTGATTTTCACTCTTATCAGTTGTTTTCAAGAGGGTATGCTTCTTAATAGTACATCCAACATGAAGTACTAGTTAAAAAACAAAATTTGTGCTGGTCTGATAAGATTTTAGAAAATAGTGTCTCGTTTGGTTTTAGTTTGCATTTTTTTCATGATCTTTTTTCCATTGTCTTTATGCACAGGAAGTTTTTTCTAATTATTAAATAGTATAATTATCATGATTAGTTTTGAAGTGCTTTTAAAATCTAATGTTAATTTTGGTGTATAGTTTGAGGTAGGGATGAAAACAAGTTTCTGCAACTAGTCAACTGGTTTTGCTAGCAGCTTTTATTGACTATTGAGTTTTTAATATTAATTATTTTTCCACTGAATATACCACCTTTATTGTAACTATCTTCATATATATTTGTACATCATTTATATTATGAATTATGTTTATATGTATATGTATAGTTTCCAGACTATCTTTTCTGTTTTTAAACATCAGTCTATTCTTGATTTACCACTATACTTTAAAACGTATAGTTTTATAATGTTTTACTTAATAAGTGGCAAGATCAGTGTACCCTCATTATTCCTCATTTTAAAAACTATTTCTTTCTTTCCTGTTCATTCTTTAAGATAAACTCTAGAATGAATTGCAAGGCTTTTAAAATTTCCCTTTGGGCTTTTGATACTTTGGGAAGAATTTATGTTGGTATATAACTTAATCTTCCCATTTAGGAACATGTCATGTCTCCCCATTTATTCTTGCTTTTTGTTAATGTCTCTTAGTAAATATTTGTTGTTTTCTCCATTACAAATCCTGCCTGCACATTGATTTAAGAAACTAATCTGGCCAGGCGCGGTGGCTCACACCTGTAATTCCAGCACTTTGGGAGGCCAAGGTGGGCAGATCACCTGAAGTCAGGAGTTCAAGACCAGCCTGGCCAACATGGTGAAACCCCGTCTCTGCTAAATAATACAAAAATTAGCCGGGCGTGGTGGTGGGCACCTGTAATCTCAGCTACTTGGGAGGCTGGGGCAGGGAGAATTGCCTTGGCAACAGAGCAAGACTCTGTCTCAAACAAAACAAAACAAAACAAAAACTAATCCTTTCTATTTTATATTTTTGGTTATATTGTGAATGACTTTCCCATTATATTTTCTAATGGGTTATCACTAATACACAGGAAATGCATGGTGTTGTTATACATTGATAACTTTAAAAATTATAAATGTATTTTACAAGCAGAATGTATTTGTTGTCTAGCACTTTATTATTATTATTATTTTTGAGATGGAGTCTTGCTCTTTTGCCCAGGCTGGAGTGCAGTGGCACGATCTCGGCTCACTGCAACCTTCGCCTCCTGGGATCAAGCAATTCTGTGCCTCAGCCTCCCGAGTAGCTGGGATTACAGGCGCCCACCACCACACCCGGCTAATTTTTTTTTGTATTTTCAGTAGAGGCAGGGTTTTACCATCTTGGCCAGGCTCGTCTTGAACTCCTGACCTCGTGATCCACCCGCCTCGGCCTCTCAAAGTGCTGGGATTACAGGGGTATAATATAGTTATAGAAAGTGCTAGACAACAAATACATTCTGCTTGTAATATACATTTAATTTTTAAAGTTATCAATGTATAACAACACCATGCATTTCCTGGTATTAGTGATAACCCATTAGAAAATATAATGGGAAAGTCATTCACAATATAACCAAAAATATAAAATAGAAAGGATTAGTTTTTGTTTTGTTTTGTTTTGGTTGAGACAGATACGGTCTTGCTCGTTGCCAAGGCAATTCTCCCTGCCCCAGCCTCCCAAGTAGCTGAGATTACAGGTGCCCACCACCACGCCCGGCTAATTTTGTATTATTTAGCAGACGACGGGGTTTACCATGTTGGCCAGGCTGGTCTTGAACTCCCTGACTTCAGGTGATCTGCCCACCTTGGCCTCCCAAAGTGCTGGAATTACCAGGGTGTGAGCCACCCGCCTGGCCAGATTATTTCTTAAATAATGTGCAG